TCTGAGATATTTTTTTAAAAACCCAGAGTGTAGAGCCCGAGTCAGGTTGTTATCAGTAATTCAGGTGGGTAAGTACGATTCCACTGGATTTTTTCCCCATACATTTTGCACATCTTTATAATTTTGCATATTCTAAAATTTCATGTCAGTTCGATGACAACTGCACTCTTAGAAAGCTGGTATTAAATCATCACCGACCGGAGTATATATGCGACTCTACCGACACTGCATGGTAGTAACGGGAATTACCGCTCAGCAATGTTATGGTAATGCAAAATTTACCACTCAGGAACAATTTACTACCAAATCCGGTAGGAAATTATTACCAAATTAATACCAGCACGGTGCTGGCAGCACCGACTATCTATGAGACTCTACCAGATTTTTAACAGTATGGCTTGAAATGAAAGGTGTTCGTGAATCGCGTAAAAGAAAAGTTCAATTGTGTGGGGATGAACTGTGAGGTATAAAATGTGGAGGATGAAGTGTCCGGTACCGTTTTACGCACATAATCGATATTTAGACAGACAGACAGACAAACATGACGAGTACATAAGCCATGACTCTGGCTATATAAAAACCCATCATTATTTTTTTAGCAATATCCTTCAATGTCCATCCTTTCAGTTTAAAATTGACAATAAGCATAAAATTGTATTCATCCATCTCTCCCACTCACTCAACATGTTACATAAGATTGAAACTAGGGCATCCAAAACCGGTTTTTCCGATTTTGTAAAACCGGTTAAAAACCGGTTTTCGATTTACCCGAAAACCGGTTTTATAATTTTCTGCAAAAACGATTTTGCAAAAAACCGGTTTTATCACACTCGAAAACCGGTTTTCGATTTTTGATAAAAATTGTTTTGGAACTACAAAATATTAGTGATTTCTCGTTTTTCATGCAAAAATCAATTGTTCTGAAATATTTGTCTCCAAATTAATGCCAAAAGTTTGTTCAATTTTAAATTTTACCACATTATATTTAACACATTTTTTAAAATTTTGTAGAAAACCGGTTTGAAAACCGGTTTAAAACCGGTTTTGGAGAAAATCGAAACCGGTTTTACAAAAATTTAAAAAACCGGAAAAATCGAAAACCGGTTTTACGAAAGTTTTCCAAAATCGGAAAAATCGAAAACCGGTTTTTGAAAATTTTCCGATTCTGGATGCCCTAATTGAAACAGACATGTTCTTCTACATATTTACATATACTTCTTCTGATTATGCATACATATGCTCGTGTACGGCTGGGAATAATCACTGCCTTCCTGCGTGCGTGTATGTCACAGCCTATTTAGATCGCGGCGAGCGCAATAAGATTCTTCAGAAAATAAGATCTTTTCCATCCAAGAAGGAACGTGTAGAATTAGGAGAAGAAGAAGATACTTTTCCCTTTTCTTTGGAGAAACCACTTCTAAAGGATGATGATCATGATGGTAACTTGGTCGGATGGCATGGGAGGCAGGAGACGCAGTGGCCGCGGAAGGGTCTGGACAGAGGGGCAATGTCCCCACGGTTGTTCGATGTCCCCATCATCTCCCCATCTTATATAAAAAACCCCCTCCCTCCTCCATGCTAAAGTATCAATGTCCCCAGATGTCCCCACACCTTCCGCGGCCACTGAGCAGAGTGAAATAATAAGAGTATGCAGAATGCAGAAGCTAATAAGTTGGCTTTCTCTCTCCACTCGTCTTTCTTTACTGCTTGGAAATGGAAACATACGAAGAAAATGTGCTTTCTCTCTTCATGGCTTCATGTCTTCATCTCCTTCCCTTCTAGCCGCCGATCCTATTAATAATAATGGCGAAAGAACAATGTTGCCAGGAATACAGGATTCTTGAAGGATCTTGAAGAAGGAAATGAAATCTGAGCCTTGCCGAAAAGTCGGACTGGGAAATGTTTCATGTTACATTATGCAATTAATACGATTCGTGAAAGGACCACGTGTAGCGAGACCACGATGTATAAATATAAATTCTGGGTAAAAATGTATCTAGATCGTATTTTACATCTTGTACAAGTCAGCAGTGGCCGCGGAAGGGGTGGGGACAATTAAAATTGTAGGATGAGGGAAGGAGGGAGGGGTTTGTATTAATATGGAGAGATGATGGAATATCGAATAACCGTGGGGCACATTGTCCCTCTGTCCACACCCCTCCACGGCCATTGATCATTATCCTATTTGGAGCACATTTTCATCTAATGGGCATAATTAGCAGTGGCCGCGGAAGCTGTGGGGACATCTTAACATTGTAGGATTGGGGAGGGACGGGTTTATACAGAGGTTCGGTAACTTGAGAAATCTGTACAACATGGACAGCTGATAAGGACCTTGTCCCTCAGTCCACACCCTTCCGCGGCCACTGTAAGTATGACAGGTGCAATAATTACTGTGTAATGGTGACATTACATTACAATAATTTTAGAAGTTGATCATTATCTTGGAGTTTCTGTTACTTCCGATTAAATCAAAGAGCTTTAAGAGGGATGGATTTAATAGAATTTGTGCCTGATTTTACGTGACTCGAGGCACAATTAAATTTCCCTTTAAGCACTCGAAGCCGATACGTGCTCGAAGGTTTTGTTAAGCTAAGGGGCACCGACAGGCAGGGACGTGGCCACTTTGTGAAAGGATTGGCTATGGATTACATACGACGTGAGACGTGCGTTTAGGCAGGAAAAGTAGAGTGAAAGTGGCAAATCGTATGTATGTAGGAGTGAAAGGAAGGAAGGAAAAATTGGTCCAATAAATTTCCGACCGACCTGTTTCATATTCATGTCGGGCGGCGGTATCGAGGTTTCTTTTTTGCAATGTATTGAATATATTTTTTTGTATACTTTTTTGGTATATTGCAAAATGGCGAGGTGCATGTTTTTTGGTACATTTTAAAGTGGCACATTTGCATGTTTTAAAATTACATGCATAAAATTGTAAATCACAACTTTTTATGAGAAAGGTTTCAGCAATGTACTATTCGATACGTTGTTTGTATGTTTGTTGACATATTTTAAAATGGCACACTTGCATGAATTTTAACATAATTTATAAAAGAGACCCAAAAAAGGAAAGCTTAGATGAGACTAAGAAGTGCGATAAAAAGTATTTAATAAATTTCTTCTCCAGTGAAGGATATAGAATTTTAATATTTCCAGCATCAGCGCCCCATTTCATTTTAAACTGACTAAAGTACATAAGCAACATGTTCATGTATGTTACCTATGTATCATGTATCAACTTAACTTTGTATCAAGTATAATTGCAAGCATTCATAATCTTTTAGTGACAAGAACAAGTAACAAATGATTTTAATATTTTTCGCTACATCATATTTGAAATTTGATAGTTATTGTATATTTATATGATAGTGAATGAAATGGGGCGCTGATGCTGGAAATATTAAAATTCTATATCCTTCACTGGAGAAGAAATTTATTAAATACTATTTATCGCACTTCTTAGTCTCATCTAAGCTTTCCTTTTTTGGGTCTCTTTTATTTATTAGTTTTTATTCGCATTGTTAGTAATTTAGTAATTATCACTCTGGTGGGCCTTAGCAACTAAACTTGGTGGTGGTGGGAGAGGTAATATTTTGACCACCATCAAAACTTTCTCAGTTTTAAACCGATTTTGGGTATTTTAATTTTATATTTTTCTAAAAAATATTTATCAACTTTTTTACATTTATCATATATGCCTTCATTTTTTTCTAATCTCCCAAAAACACATTTTTGATGGTGTTTTTGTTGCATATCTCAGAAACAGGTCAACATTTTAGCCTCCCGTTCGGCAGTTCAATTCTAATTTCCCATAATTAACTCTGGACACTAATTTCATTCAAATCGGATGGAAATTGACCTAGATCTGAAAAAATTAAGCTTTTCAAAACCGTAGTGATTGCTTACTTAGATGATTTTTTTTCCTGTAGTAACTATAGCCTCATCTAAGAAAAATGGCACACTTGTATATTTTTTAGCACATTTTAAAATGGCACGTATACATAATTGTGAATCACAACTTTTTGTGAGAAGCGTTTCTCCAATGTATTAAACATATTTTTGGCATCTTTTTTTCCATATTTTAAAATGGCACTTACATAAAATTGTAAATCAAATTCAATTTTTTATAATAATTACAACCACATATTTCCTAATTCTCACGGGATTTGGTAACAAGTATTTGTGATAAGAAAAAGAATATGATAATTATCATAAAATTCTTTATAACCACGCCCGGCTTTTACTTCACAATTTTTCAAATCTTTATTTATTTTGTGGGAAGGAAACGACTGGCAAAAATCCGGTTAACTAAAAATAATGCCCACAACACCCCACCCGACCGAACACCCATTCATAATGGCCATGCATCCTCTCTGTCGTTCTTTCCATCAAAGTAATCCATTACACGAGTAATTTGTTATTTCATGCACCATGTGCTGCAACATGCATTCGAACCAGTGGCCGCGGAAGCCATGGGGACATCTTAACATTGTAGAATATGGGAGGGAAGGGTTTGTACATATAACATGAGGAACATCTCATAACCGTGGGGGGACATTGTCCCTCTGTCCCCACACTTCCGCGGCCACTGATTCGAACATCGTCGTAATGCTTACAATCTTTCTGGTGAGTGAAAGGGAATGACGTGACACAAGTAATTGATGATTCTCCATCTGTTTTTCACATTACTTTTATATTTACGTTAAATGAACTTGGTCTAATGTGCTGTGCATATTCAGTGGCCGCGGAAGCGTGTGGACAGAGGGACAATGTCCCCACGGTTGTTCGATGTCCGCATCATCTGCCCATCTTATATAAACCCGTCGCTCCCCCATCCTACAATGTTAATGTCCCCGCGGCTTCCGCGGCCACTGACGAGCAACGAAAATTCTTTGCTTTTCCTACTCCTCCTCCTTCCTACAATATCTTATCATATTTATTACATAAGCAACATCTTATCATCATCATTATCACGATATTTATTTTTCTTTCTCTTCCAGGCCAACCCAACTTCCAGGACACGATGCAAAGTCCGGTGGCCGTAATTCAAGGGGAAAATGCGCCCTTGACGTGTGTCGTTCGAGAATTGGGGGAAGCGTCGGTAGTGTGGAAAAAATGGGAAAACGGAAAATCAGGCCCTAAAATTCTGACGGCTGGAGAAGTCCGCGTCACTTCGGATGAAAGAGTTCGGATCATTCATGACCAAGGTGAGTAAAAGAAAACTGTCATCAAAAAAATTAGATGTACATACTTTATAGAGAAAGCAATGAGCCGTGCAAATAACCAGGCAAGATTTGTTTAAGGTTGAGTTACTACTTATTGCCTAATCTTATATCTCAGCACCCTATACGTTAATATATGAGCTACTTACAATCGAGGTATCTCAGCGTATGCTCTTCGATTTTTGCCAAATTGATATTAGTCGATGACAAGTTTGATTAGTATGAAATTTGCGAAAGACACGATCTCCCAATGGACACGTTTGGCAGAGATATTTGCATCCGAAGAGGAGAAAACGCTCAGTAAATTTGGAAAGTGTAAAATTTGTCGACTTTACTGCGCGTTTTCTCCTCTTCGGACGCAAATATCTTGGCCAAACGTGCCCATTGGGAGATCGCGTCTTTTGCAAATTTCATACTAATTAAATATGCGATCGATTTACACAAATTTGGCCAAAATCGGAGGGCATACGCTGGGAGACCTCAATTGTCACGTATGTAGTTACGACTACGCGATCAATTGAACGTTCCCCGAGATCAAGTCGTCAAACCGACGTCTGAAACCGCTCCGAATCCAATCCACGAATAAAAAAGAGATGAAGAAACCTTGAAATTGAACTTAAATTAAATCTCACTTTTGTCTGCGGAAGCTTCTTATCGAAAGGAGAAGTTGGACATGTTAATCCTTCTTTTATTTCCCCTTTATGTACGACACTTTACTACTCCTTGTATCTGCCCCAGACAGTGGCCGCGGAAGCCATGGGGACATTAATAGGGGAGGGAGGGGTTTATATAAGATGGGGAGATGATACGGACGTCGAACAACCGCGGGGACATTGTCCCTCTGTCCGCGGCCCCTGTCGTAAATCCCCCCAGGATTTGGCTCTCTCTTACGCAATCGTGTGCTTCACTTTACATAAAACTATAATCTATTTGCCAGCCATCCATCCCTGGTTTGGTTCAGTTTCACTTATTTTTTCCTCTCCACTGCAGCCCCCGAGTGGAGACAGACTCGATGAAACATTAGCCTCATAAATCTTTTCGAGCTGTGCGGGTGCATTGTTTTTTCGAGTAGTGCTTATGCATGTATGTACCAAAGAAAACCCTGCTTTCTGCTTGCTCTCTGGTCTCTCATCTCATCCCTATTTGCTCCTTCTGCTGCTCTATTGATGTCATTTGTGGATGAAAATGTCAAGGATTTTGTCATGAAGACGTTATCTATTTTTGATACTAATACATACGTACAAGCTTATTGGAACTGTCACAGGGTTGTATATTTATTCACTCAAAATCAGTCAAGAGCATGGACGCTATTTATGTACATATTTTCACTCACAATGGAACCTTTTTTTCAAGCTATACCAAACGAATTATATTAAAAAATTAAGCCAAAATATAGGAATCGCGTGGATTTTTTAGCGAGTTATATATATTAAAAACATCAAGCCAAAAATTAGGAATCACATGGATTTTCTGGCGAGTTATATTAAAAAATGAAGCCAAAAATTAGGAATAAAATGGCACTTATCTTTCCATTGAGTGACCCCTTCGACGATAAATATCGTCGACAAAGTTCAGTTTTTGAGTGATTTTAGTCACGTGATTAATAATTCTTGGCATGATTTTTTCGATATAACTCGTTAGGAAATCCATGTGCTTGAAATAAGGTTCGATTGCCACAATGCAGAACAAGTAGCATTATTTACGCCAAGAAGATACGCATTATGTTGATTTGATTGGCTCAAATTTGATCATCGCTTCAATTGTGAGCTTCTTATGGTACAATCTTTCTCAGTCGGCATGATACAAATTTTTGTGAATATGCGTTCATACGTTATACGTAGTAACTTTTCCTGTGACGACACGACACATCTGCTGCCTGAAGGACAAAGTGAAATAAATAAATGGGCCCTTTCACTTTCTTCCGTACGGAGAATTTCCTTTTACTTACTTTCTCCCCCAGTGTCATCATCATCCCGCAGATAGTAAATCGTAGAGTCGTCTCGTTTTGCATGCTTAGTTACTGACAAGGGAGGTCTCCCAGCGTGTGCTCTCAGATTTTGAGAAAATTAGTGTCAATCGGCCACAAATTTGATTAATATGAAATTTGCGAAAGACACGATCTCCCAATGAGCACGTTTGGCAGAGATTTTTGCATCTGAAGAGGAGAAAACACGCAGTACATTTGGAACGTGTAAAATTTGTCGACTTTAAGGTGCGTTTTCTCCTCTTCGGATGTAAATATCTCTGCCAAACGTGCCCATTAGGAGATCGTGTCTTTCGCAAATTTCATACTAACCAAATTTGCGACCGATTGACACTAGTTTGCCCAAAAATCGGAGAGCATTCCTTAGGAGACCTCCATTGTTCGTTTGACGCAGGTATCCCCATTCCTAACTAATATTCAATCTCCGGTTTTCTCTAAAATAAAAGCTTGGTATTATATCATAATACATTAGGTTGTGACATGATGTCTTTCGCTTCCCGTTCCTCCTCCGGTGGGCGAGTGGAGCGATTTTGTCAGCGGGAAATGAAATGTCTCCGCTCCTTCTGTGGTTTGGTTTTGAGCTCATATATCAATTTTTTAGACATTTTCTCTCCCCATCCGCCGACCCACCAAATAAAACACATCTGTCAACCCCATGTCCTCCTCTCATCTTCATCTCCACTCCTAACTACGCGCCAAGGTTACGAACGTTACCATTTGAACTGAAAGGAGGAAAAGTCATGTCCATGAAACATCTTGGATCAGTTAGTCGCCTCGTCAGCAGGGGCCGCGGAAGCCGTGGGGACATAGGGGGACATTGCCATTGGAGGGAGGGGTTTATGTATGGGGACAAAATTTTGAACTATATTAACGCAAAAGCATTGATAAAATAATGGGGATATCGAATAACCGTAGGAACATTGTCCCTCTGTTCCCACCCGAGCTTCCGCGGCCACTTATCTTCCAGGGGAGGAATTTATTTAGAATGCAATTTGCTTTCGTATGAAGAATGATGATCATCTTGATGATGGGAGAAGGCAGAGGAGGTGGATTCATATAATCAGATTGAAATGGCCGCGGAAGGTGTGGGTGGGGACATTGCCATTGTAGGATGGGGGGAGGGAGGGGTTTATATAAGATGGGGAGATGATGCGGACATCGAATAACCGTGGGGACATTGTCCACACGCTTCCGCGGCCACTGCTTTCTTCCACCAGCTCACCTTCCTCCTTTTTCACTCTCATACAAAAGTAATAAACTTGATGGGCTGATAGTTTACAAATTCATGACCAAGTTACGTAAGAGAGAGAGAGAGAGACAGAATTTATAAATGGACAGGATTCCCCGAGTTGACTTTGGTGGTCTGCTTGCGGGAGAAAGTAAAAGACAGAGACGGAGTTGATATTTTAGGACTGACGAAAGAAAAGGTATCAACGTCACCACATCTTTCAGGATGAGAAACGATCATCATAAGCAAGCAGCGAGTTTTCGTAATGGAAACGTGCCATCAAATCAAACACGGTTTTATGTAGTCCTCCCTCTCTCTCCGGTAGCAACTTGCTGTATGTATGCAAAGTTTGGTGGTAGGATTTAGTTTCACTGGCGGTAGGAAGGAACAGAAATAGTCTGCTTGTGGTGAGTGAGTGAGGTCCTCGAGCTGAAATGCAGATCACGTCGCTGTGTGCATCTACCTACCTACGGCTTTCTCTTTCGTGTCGATACGTATTTGGTGGGTGTGGGACCTGCTCCGCGGTGAGTTTTTAGGCGACAGAGTTGTGCACCGATAGACAGAGTTGGATGGAAAATCCATTATAGTCGCATGAAATCATTGGGAATAAACCGTTGTAAACGAATATAAAAAAGTAGCGTCAGAACGAGTCAAAGTTCCTTTAAAATTACGCAAAATATGATAATTACGTATTTTTGACCTGTGACCTCGTCCTCACGGGTAAAAAATATCGACGGAATTGAATTCGTGGTGAAATTTCCTTTAAAATGACACCCCATATGAAAATTAAGGTCCAATTAATTTTGGACCACACCCCCTCGCGCTGTGGGGGGTGGTCCGATTGGCCCCATTATCGAATTCGGCCAAGAACTAAAAATAAGAAGCGCAATGACGAAAACTGTGTTTGATTATGTTGAAGAGTTATGGAGATATCCTGCTGACGGACAGACATACAGGGATCCTGCGGACAGACAAAACGGTCACAATAAGCGGAGCACGCTACTTTAGTAATAACTCGAAATTATGGGGGATTAAGTGAGTTTCTGCTTTCCAAGGTGGGGGAGAAGGATGAACGGAAAGGCTAATGATGTGCACTGCTCAGACATTATCCAAGTCTCGTCTTTCTTGGATCATCTCTTTAAAAATAGCTAATTGTTTCCGCACCCTGCAGACGAAAGGAGATGACAGGAAGTATGCACAAAAAGGAGAAATGCGTTCATTCATACGTTACAGAAAAGTTGGGGAAAATCGTCGTCATTTTTAATAAGTTTATGAAACGAAAAGCAGGAAAAGTATGTAAGGATCCATTTCTTTCTTTACTGAATGGTACGCAGTGCGGGTGGCTTCTTGAGCACCTGCATTTTTTTATAAAGTGGGCGAAATAGCGGCGTCTCTTTCTCTGTTTCAATAAAGTCTCGTGGGACCAATTTTCTCAGCATTTGGCTCAAGACAAGCACGCATGCAGACATCCTCCTGGTCTGGCACCAGGCTGCTCCTCTCTAGAATGAGATGACTTTGCTTGGCGAAAGTAGAAAATAGCAGGCCACGTATGTAGGAACGATATTCGCATTATGTAACGTGTCATCCATTCCATAAGGTTATAAATAGTGTAATTATTTAATATAGCTTTATTTACGTAGTGTGTTACTCTCATAATTTTATGTACACTTTCTCCAGTCACTAAAAACACAATGTGAGAAGAGTAAAATGAGACGTCAGGAAGGCAAATTATTTTTCGCTGCACGAAAAACTAGACTATTCTACAAAACCCATACTAAAGAAAAGAAGCCCAGAAAAACTTTCTCAGTTTTAAACCGATTTTGATAATTTTAATGTTATGTTTTTCTAAATGTGTATCAATTACTTGACTCTCGTATAGATTTTCTAAAATTCTAGCCTAAAAAAAATTACCGAGATCTTAAAAAAATTAAGCTTTTGGAAACCATACTGCTCACTACATAGATAACTTTCTTCCCCAGTAGATGCACCCTTATCTAAGAAAAATCCCATTTTTCCTGCAATGCATACTGATAAGATTACGTAAGGTATGTACATACAAGGAAGAGGAAGGAATGACTATCAATCGATCAAAATGCAATGTTCGGAAAACTTTCACTTTCTCAATGTTTCTTTCTCCTCACCAGCTGGGAATTACGTTGCATTACACTACATCGAATTTTTGAAATTGAATCACATCACTCAAATTGTGTTACGTACGTACGTGTAGGCGTGCCACACACTGTTTCATCTCTAGAAGTTGTAGAATGCAGTGGCCGCGGACAGAGGGACAATGTCCCCACGTTTATTCGATGTCCGCATCATCTCCCCATCTTATATAAACCCGGCCCTCCCCTATCCTACAATGGCAATGTCCCCATACAGCTTCCGCGGCCACTGGTAGAATGAAAATGATTGAACATATCGCACCCACCGCTCCTCAGTTGGAAAATGTGGAAATTAAATTGATAAAAAGCTGATTTTAAGTAGGAGCTAGCTATACACATTTCCGAAAAAAGTTTCCAATGTCGAAATCCTTCCTTTATAAAGTAAATAACTTTAAAGTAAGTGGATGCAGAAAATTTGAGTCAATGAAAATGAATGAGTCAATAAAAAATAAGGAGGTTCAGCACACCTGCGGTACCTAGCACGTGTTTAAGTATGTACCTGGCCACACCCTATTTTAAAGCCAGCTTTATAAATATTTCGCATCCTCCTCTCTGTTAAAATTACATATCATCTCAACTACAATTACCCTGGCGTCACCGTCGTAACACTAAATTGTCACTGAAGCAGTAGTCACATTTCAGATTCCACGTTTCCTCTTCTTCTCTCTCATCCAGTGGCCGCGGAAGGGTGTGGACAAAGGGAAAATGTCCCCACGGGTATTCGATGTCCGCATCATCTCCCCATCTTATACAAACCCCTCCCTCCCCAATCCTACAATGTTAATGTCCCCACACATTCCGCGGCCACTGCGCCTCTCATCCGCTAACAAACATACTCTCACTCGCTCTCTTTCTCATGTTTACTTTGTACGAAAGTATTGTGTTTTGCACTTTGTCCTGCAAATAATCACGGCTTATGTACATGTACAACCTCCACGGAGAAAGGAGCCGAGTGTGTGAAGGAATGGGGACGACGCAGAGGAAGTTGGGAGGTCGTCAGTGGCCGCGGAAGGTGTGGGGACATCTGGGGACATTAACATTGGTCGATAAGGGAGGGGTTTATATAAGATGGGGAGATGATGCGGACATCGAACAACCGTGGGGACATTGTCCCTCTGTCCCCACCTACACTTCCGCGGGCACTGTATTCCTCCTAAAGAGAGTGAGAGATGAAGTGTGTGTATTCATTGTTGTGTAGTGAACGAGGAGGTAAATGATGGTGAAGTTTCGTTTCATAAAGGAGGCGGACAAATAAGTGTCGTCCTCCCTGAATGGGCATGAATTGTCACGTAATCGCATAATAGGACCACTCATGCTCCCCTTCATCCATGCTCGACTTACCCATTAAAAGTTATTGATGTTTGATTCCACTACACGAGGAAAGAGAGGCCTTTCCTCCCCGCCTTGGATTTCCGCTCTCATTTAGAAATGCTAATGAATGTCAGACATAACCGAATTTCGGGATGTGGACGGTTTTAACGTGACAGGCACAATTTGCATGAAATTTTGGTGGGGTAAATACAACGCATTTTAGAGATACATATGTATAGTAAACAGGTTTATAAGTAGCGTACATGTAAATGTTGTCTGAAATTGAAATTATGAAATTTGAGTTAAAAAAGGTGGGTGAAAGTTGCAAAAATCAGACACAATTTGCATGAAATTGTAGCGGGATATGTAAATTTTTAGAGATATCAAGCAGCTTTATTAGTAAATGTGTATATTTAAAATCCAACTAAATGTGTATATCTTCTGAAATTTCAAGTGTGCAATTATTTGAAAAAAAGTGAGACAGAGTTGCCAAAATCAGGCACAATTTGCATGAAATTTAAGCGGGATAGATGTATTTGAACATGTATAATAAACAGTTTTTTTACCTATAGCTTACACCAACGTCTGAAATTTCGATTATGCAATTTTAATGCAAAAAAAGGTGACACACAGTAGCCAAAATTTTGCACAATTTGCATGAAATTTTAGCAGTTTACATGCATCTTCGAAATATACAAAGAAAACACCTTCACCAGTAGCTTACATCCCTGTCGAAAATTTCAATTATGAAATTTTCCCAGGTAAAAAAAGGTGTCACAAACAAAGTAGCCAAAATTATGCAGATTAGTAATAATCACATGTACTTCAAGATGATGGGCGACGTACTTATTTCCAAAGAGGAAATTGAGACCGTAAATAATCCCACGAATCCATCTGGCTGGAGACAATTAAAAATAAAGTGATCATTTGTATTCATGACGGAAGCAGAGAGCTACCCTCACTTTGTTACATATTGCGAGGTCGTCGTACATATTCAGAGGAAGTGAACAGGCAGTGGCCGCGGAAGCTTGAGGGGACAGAGGGGCAATATCCCCACGGTTATTCGATTTCACCATCATCTACACATTTTATATAAACACTTTCCTCCCTACAATGTTAAGGTCCCCACGTGTCCCCACGGCTTCCGCGGCCACTGAAGAGATATTCCATTTGTTAAGCGAGACAAACAATGGCCGCGGAAGCGTGGGGACAGAAAAGGACAATGTCCCCACGTTTATTCGAGGTCCCCATCATCTGCCCATAAACCCGACCCTCCTCCATCCTACAATGGCAATGTCCCCGATGTCCCCACACCTTCCGCGGCCACTGGAGAGGTGCACATGCATAAGTAGCTCCGGAGTCGAAGGGGCGGAGCGGTTCATATTTTATGAGAATAGAAATGCCAATTTCACCCATGCTCGTAAACCAGGGACTTGAATTCGTATAAATATAATTTTATGTTGTATTATGCCAAGTGAGAGAAATTTCAATTATTTTTTATCCCATTTTTTTAAATAGGTGGGGATGTCTGGGTTTTGGCGATAAGGGACGCACTCCCGAGCGATTCTGGTCTCTACATTTGCGAAGTTAATACAAATCCTGTGCTCAGGTCATTCCACAATCTCACCGGTAAGTGACAAAGTCTATTTCAACTTATCTAAATACTTAAAAAGTGTGCATTCTAGGTGAGAAAATCTAGGTATTTATCTGTTCACCTTATCTACTTGAAAATGTGCAAGGGGTTCAATTTTTGATAAAATATACGAATGACAAGTAGACTAAACAAATAGGTATTGAGAAGTCTGTCCTTAAATATGAACATGTTTATTTATTATATGTTCTTCAAAATCCAGGAACAAGGGAGGCCTTTCAGCGGGAGCTCTCAGATTTTGAGCAAATTAGTGTTAATCGATGGCAAATGTAATTAGGATGAAATTTTCGAAAGACACGATCTCCCAGTGGGCACGTTTGGCAGAGATATTTGCATCCGAAGAGGAGAAAACGCACCTTAAAGTCAACAAATTGTACACTTTCTAAATTTACTGCGCGCTTTCTCCTCTTCGGATGCAAATATCCCTGCCAAACGTGCCCACTGGGAGATCGTGTCTTTCGAAAATTTCACACTAATTAAATTTCCCATGGATTAATATTAGTTTCCCCAAAATCTGAGAGCACCCGCTGAAAGACCTCCCTTGTTAGTAAACAAAAATCGAGTAAAAAACACAACAACGCATCTTAAGTGCAGTCAAAATCGATTCATGTCTGTATCGAAACCAATTCTGGATAAAGTGCATTTTACCTCCTCAGACAGACAGACGTACACACATACATATTTACACACCCAGACACCACTCTGTCTAGAACGATAGAGAGAAAGCGAAACAGATCAAACAACACAACATCCAACAGTTAGTTTCCCAAAAAACAGAGAAAAGCAAAAAGTTTACTTTGATGCGACCGACGACGACGTATGGAATACACAATACCGCAAATATGTACAAAGTTTTTTTCCACTTGGGTATTTTTCAAAGTCAGACAGATGCATGCGTGTGAATCGAGAGATCACGTTGTTTGTACACAGTCGGATTACGTACATATGCTCGTGTATGTACATAACTTATGTAAATAAGTAAATATATGCACTTAAACAGGATACAGTTATTTCAATAGGGAACATTTTTTTAAATATTTTGTGTTTTAATTTAATCCAAGCTTTTAACGTTCCATTGCATGCGGAGTTTGAGTTTGAATTTTTTGCCTCAACTTTCCCTGTCAAATGGTGATTTTTAAACCTTTGCCTTTTTTAAATGAAGATTTTCGAAAAATCGAGAATCTTTAGCTTTACAAAGTTAGGAGGTTAGAATTTTGATTTTTTATTTCTTCCAGGAGAAAGTAGAAAAAAATTGAAAAAAATAATACGTAAAAATTAAATATTTTCGCATGAAAGAGAAAACAATCAAAATTATAACCTTCAAATTTTGTAAAGCTAAAAATTACGATTTTTAGATGCTATAAAATCATCATTTAAAAAACGCACAGGTTTAAAAATCTTAATTTGAATACATGGAAGCCGGGAAAGCTGAAACATAAAAATTCAAACTCAAAACCCGCACATAGTGGGACCTTAATGTAACACTTTTTCTCCTATTTTTTTCAGTCATATCACTCGAAGTAGCTCCGCCGAAGCATTTTAACGAAACGCTAACTTTCACCATCCCTCCGCCCGGGGAAGACTTTCCATTCCAAGAGTTCTCTGAAAGTTATAAGGTCAGTTTGTCACCCAGTCAAATAAACTTTTATGTCACGAATACGTGATACATTCGGTTAATATACATAGTCTGTATACATGTTGCGTAACAAAATTAATTTATAAATGACTCCAAATTAGGGCCAAGGTTCGATCGGCAGCCATAACTATACTTCGTGCTGTGTCTCGCAAAACGTGTCGCGGAGTTGTTTGGGCTTTTGCACACTTCAATCCATCCTCGACGGGTATGTGCATATGCAACACTGATTTACTTTTCTATTAAATATCTAGTACAATGACAGCAAGTTTTAATAAAATTTTTCCCATTTTCAGGTCTACCGGAGAACCGTCCCAATGCGAAAATGAGTTTCCACGAATAGTCAAATGCATGGCGGGTAAGCGGTTCATAATTTTTTACAAATTTGTCCAGAAACTTTCGACACTTAGTTTTTTACGCTGCCAAAAAATAAACTCTCATTAAAAGAAATATGAATTTTTGAAAAAATTATTGACATTAAGTTTTTCATTGATCAAATTAAATGGTCTCCTCATCGTAAGAAATACTCAATTTTTCCAGAAATTATCTCCATTTAGTTTTTTACGCTGCCAAAGACAATCTCTTAATCGAAAGGAAATCCTGACATACAGAATATGTAGTTTAGAATCAGTAAATACTTAAGTTTCGAACGTGTCAACCGCAAAATTCCGATACAAAAAAATGCGACAAAGTATTCAATTCTCTCCGAGAAATGAGGCACGTTTTGTTCATTCGGAGGATGAACTGAAATGTATTTAACCCTTTAACGTGTATGATTGACGACAAGAAAATGCATTAAATCGGGGACACTATAAGTATGTTGTGGTCATGGCGCGGGAGGAGAAATTCAGGAGTTTTTAATAAAACTCGAAAAACTGAAAAATCAAAAATTTAACATTGCGTTGTATAGGGAAATATCCAAATTTTTGGGAAGAAAATCTTCAAATTTAGCATTGTGTTGGCATAGGAGAAATCCCTCAAAATTGCAACAAATTTTCGGTCGCGGAGAGAAAATGGTGAAAATCAATGACCTCATAGAAACGACAATTGTCTTCCTTCCGCGCCATGACCACGATTTTTCAGGACGACTTTTGTCGTACTCCCGAATTAAACCATTTCTTATAAAACGACAATTGTCGTCGTTACAGTTTAAAGGGTTAAAAGGTGGTAGAAAGACTTGTACTTCTTCTTTGAAATGTGTGTGCGTCGTGCGTCGTGATGAATTTCTTCTCCGATCCGAACCTAAGTAAATCTGGGATCTGGCAGACCCAGACCTGGTTGTTGAGCACAATCCACGCCACGTTCCTTGCTCACACACATTAAGAACGATTCGGTGGAGAAAGTGGAAGACAAGAAAAAGAAGGATGGCAACCACGAAGGGAAAACTGTGACGGATTTATTTATTGATTTTATTGTTCTCTTATGTCCTCCACGAGGACGATTGTTCTTTTCCAAAGAAAATATATGCTGGTTGGTCGGCAGTACTTTTCAAAAGTTAAAAAATACGATAGATTGTTCCCAACTTGGAGAAAATTAGATGGAGTTAGAGCGAAAGAGAGGCAGGCTTCTAGTTCCGGTTTAGAAAATAAGTTCCCCAATTTCGGGGAGAAAGTGGAAAGGAAATGCAGCAGCAATCGTATTTTTATCTGAGCCAGTGGCCGCGGAAGGGCGTGGACACCAGAGGGACAATGTCCCAGCGGTTATTTGATGTCCCTATTATCTGCCATGTTATACAAACTTCTCCCTCCCCTATCCTAAAATGCTAATGTCCCCACAGCTTCCGCGGCCACTGATACGACGCAGCAACAGTCGTAGCTTTATGCGGGCTAATGGCCGCGGAAGTTGTGGGGACAGAGGGGCAATGTCCCCACGGTTATTCAATGTCCCCATAATCTCCCCATCTTATACAAACCCTTCCCTCCCCTATTCTTCAATCTTAATGTCCCCACACCTTCCGCGGCCACTGAATTCCGCGCTAATGTTTTGGTCGTACAGGAACAAAAAGAACCTTACAATTTTTAAAATTGTTTAGACCCCTCCTTCCCCTATCCCGTAATGTTAATATCCCCACATGTCCCCCACAGCTTCCGCGGCCACTGAATTCCAAGCTAATGTTTTGCTCGTACAAAAAAAACGTAAAATTTTTACCCTTGTTTAGACGGACGGGACCACGTTCCATGCTGCGTTCGGGAAGGAGTGCCCGATATCTGCCAGGATTTATGTCGCGGAGAGTACACCATAGTCACTGATAATGTTAAGACACATTTCTCATGTCCAACATTTATCGAGAGAAGTAAGAAGAAAAATCTTTACACTTTCTTCACACGCTTTTTTAAAAGAAAGTATTTCTACACTTTCACCACTTTCAATTTCAGCCCTCGCCTGCATTGCTGATGGAGTTGGTAAGTTTAAATCAAGTTTTTTCTGCTCGAATTCAATTCTAAAGTTCAACTGGAAAATTGACCTGGGTCATAAATATGTCAGTGGGTTGAGGGTGTGTGGAGAGAGAAAGTTGAAAGTGAAAAGTTGTCGGGCTTACATAGATCAGAATTTGGAGAAAGCAGGATTTTTAATAAGCTACTAAATCAATTGGTCATATAGTTAAAATGATTTGATCACTTGTATTTGCATAATTTGCATGCTAATCCAGTTAATCTGGTAAAATTAGCAATTATTTGAGATCATGGTAAGAGTGTGGAGAAAGTGAAAGTGAAAAGTCGTCGCACTTGCATACGCGCAAAACGTAAAAATTTGGAGAACGCATTTTTTCTTCATTTTCTAATAATTCTCTAGATTAATTGGTCACATAGTTCCATTTGCATAATTTGCATTTTAATCTAACTAATCTTGGTTAAATGCCAAATATAACAATTTGGAGAAAGCATCTTTTTATCATTAATTTTCTAATAATCCATAAAATCAATTGGTCCCATCCCATAGTTCAATTGGTTTTAAACTAATTGATCACTCGCATCTGCATGATTTGCATTTTAATCGGGTTAAATTAGCAATTACTCGAGATCATTAGTGCATCGCGTGTATGGAAAGAGATGAAAAGTCTATTAGTTGTGGTGCAGAGAGAGAGAGAAATGAATGAGGTCGCAGATAAAGGGCACTAACCATGCTTCGTACATAAGTAGCTCAGCACGACCACCTTATACTTTCCTTTAGCCTCACAAACACCAACCGACGAACGAGGCAACCACCATCATATATTTTACGGCATTACTTCAACCCACTGATTTCACTCCCAGTTCATCACTTTCACCCGTTTAGCTACTCGCTTGCCAGAAGCTGTAGTACGGACGGACGAAGTGAAAGCGGGGAAAGCTATTAAGTCCACCTCCTCCTCCTTGTGCACAATCCTTCTGATTGCCGACATTCCATTCCAACATACATGCATGTGTACAGGGCCCGCGGAAGCGTGGGGGCAAGAAATTAATTTGTCCCCACGGTCTCGTGAAACTGAAGTACAAAAACATCGACTCAAACTATTACTTAAAATTTATAAGGAAATCCTGCAATAGTGTTGACTTTCCATTCAATTTTAAGTTAAGATATGTAAAATATGCAATTTGCATTGTAACAATCAGCAATATTGCAATTTTCCTAAATTTTCTTAAATTTTCATTTTCATCGAAAGTTTTGCATTTTTAAGTGTCAGATTACTGTACATAATCATCCCAAGATTTTTGTATCAAGTGCTGGATTTGTTTTCAAAAATATTTTTTTAGCTTGAAAATAGGCAGGAAATTTTCCTATTCAATTTTGATTGACTAATGCCAGAAAAATATTCAATTTGTATCGTAACAATCGGCAATATTTCGATTTTCTTAAATTTTCATGAAAGTTTTGCATTTTTTAAGTTGTCAGATTACCGTACATATATACAATCCTTCCCAAGATTTTTTTTTCAAGTGCTGGATTTTTTTTCGAAAATATTTATAGGCGAGAACATTTTCGCGAGAACTGTAGCAGCGAGCGACGTGTGTGTAATGTCCCCACGGTCTAAATTATCTTCCGCGGCCACTGCATATGTACGAGCAAGGACTACATAGTCGCAGTATATTTGCGAGTTCAATTCAGCAGTTGTTGAACCAGAGTGTCCACAGTTTGTTACATTTTATTCACCCGAGCAGTTAGTTACTTTGTGAGTGGATGGAGGTGCAGACTAGCAGAGAGAGGAGAAAGTAGCGTGGAGAAAGTTGTTGTAAGTGCATTGAATGAAAGTTGAAACAGACAGTTTGATTTACGAGAAGTAGCCGTACTCTCATAAATGTGTGGCGATGAAATGAAATGAAATTTCACTTGCTCCATTCACCCAACCCCATATTTTAAGTGGTTGAACGGCGTGTAATGCGGCAACCTGGATGGTAAATGAAATGGTCACCAAACCAAATGGATTAAATAACCGTTACAATTTTTCTTTTACAAGGGGGGAAATTGTAGGAGTAAAAGTTTGTCGGTTAAAAGATTCATGGGTGGGGAATCAGTTTACTGACAAGGGAGACTGACCAGCGGTTGCTATCCGATTTTGAGAAAATTAGTGTAAAGCGATCACAAATTTGGTTAGTATGAAATTTGCGGAAGACACAATCTCCCAATGGACACGTCTGGCAGAGATATTTGCATCCGAAGAGGAGAAAGCGCGCAGTAAATTTGGAAAGTGTAAAATTTGTCGAATTTACTGTGCGCTTTCTCCTCTTCGGATGCAAATATCTCTGCCAAACGTGCCCATTGGGAGATCGTGTGTTTTGCAAATTTCATGCTAATTAAATTTGCGACCGGTTGGCTCAAAATCGGAGAGCACCCGCTGGGAGACGTCCCTTGTGAGGAGTTGAAAGTTTAAAATTACTGTTCAATGCAGTACGTATTTAGTTGAACGGAAGGCTTTTTACTGTTTGTCTGTTTTTTTTAATGACGTAACTTTTTACAACGTGGAATTGTAGGTTGTTCAAGTCAAGTGAAACATTAAAAATTAAATGGCCATTTAACATCCTGTCTCCATTAATCTAACTTTGTGCAAACAAAAGTTACGAGAATGGGGAATACGTATGCAGGCGACAACTTTCGAATAAAATGTCATCTTTTATCTTTACTACGTACGTATCTCACCCCAGTGGCCGCGGAAGCCGTGGGGACATTAACATTGTAGGATAGGTAAGGAGGGGGTTTACATAAGATGGGAGATGATGCGGACATCGAATAACCGTGGGCCATTGTCCCTGTGTCCCTCTACTTCCGCGGTCACTGAAACCGGCGACATCCACATGTGCGGGCAGTAGCCGCGGAAACTGTGAGGACATCTGGGGACATTTCAATTGTAGGATAGGGTTTATATAAGACTAGCGTATAGCCCGGCCAAGGCCGGGTTCTAGAGTTCCAGTGGGGGGTGTGCCCAAAGCGAAAAATCCGTCATACTATATTTTAAATAATTCCCAGTGGAGACTTTGTCATACTACATACATACATCAGACTGAGGGTTTGCCCAAGTCATACTGCATTTTAATTAACCTGGTCACAGTAAAATTTGATTCCCCCCTGTGGGAGTAGTTGAATAGCTAATTACTTAAATTCCCGTCGCGTGGGAGTAACTGCATAGCTAACTATTTAAATTCCCACGCTTCACGCTCCCGTTAAGTTCCATAAACCCCGTTAACTTCTACAATTAACGCCAAGCTATTGACGGATTCGGATTCAGCGTCAAAAATACATTCGAATTGATATGCGACATCACGAATAAGCCAGATTTGGACACCACGGTCACGGCGAGGTCACGGGGGCCTCGCAGGTCAAAACCATTGACGGCGTTGGATTCAGCGTCAAAAATACATTCGAATTGACATGCCACTCGCTGTGGGTAGAGTTTCTCAAACTAAAATAATTAATTAGTAGTGTTTATCACGATCACTTATCATGATAACCACTATTGATGAGTGATGTATGTATGTGGGGTGTACATGTTCATGTATTCATTTATTCATGCAGTGCAGTGCATGCATGCAGTGGTTGCTCCGCTTCCTTCTTTGTTTTACTGTATGGGGCAATTTGCATTGCGAAGACGGACCCAGGGACCCAGGGATCATACTAACACTTTATTAGAGTAGATGGGGAGATGATGCGGACATAGAATAACCCTGGGAACATTTTCCCTCTGTCCCCACCCTTCCGCGGCCACTGTCTCGCTCTCCATACCGCACAAAAATTTATGTATGTACGTATTTACTGCGCTCCAAACCCAAGAACACGACCCACTAACGAATGTAATGGTAGAACTCGATCTGGAAGTGGATTTAATACACCGTTTTTCTCCATTAATTTGCAGAAATCCTTTCCAGCGAGCCAGTAAACTTGGTGGCACAGGTGTGTAAGATAAACTTTACTTTGTTACTATGTATGTATGAAAAGACATATGGGAGATATCAATATGTAATCGTAACGTGTTTGGAAAATTAGCATAATGTTTTATTAACCACCAATTTCTTTAATTCCAGGCGATAAGTCAGTCATCCATAAATGCGTCGTGGTTGGCACCCGCAAAAAATGGGGACACAGGTAAAATATTTATCTTGCTTTCTCCTTATGCACTCTTAGAAAACTGGTATTAAATCATTACTGACTGGAGTACATTTATTTATGCGTGACTCTACCGGTACTGGTAATAACAGAGATTACAGTTTAGTTATGTTGCATTAATGCAAAATTTACCAGGAAGAAACAAACTATTACCAATCCGATATGAAGTTATTAACAAATCAATACGAGTACCAAATTTTTAACAGTGTGATTAAATATGCCACTAATTGGCTAATTCTTTACCACAAATTACTACCAATCCGGTAAGAAGTTATTACCAAAGAATAAAAATACTTATGATTCTACAAAATTTTTACCAGCGTGGTTAAATATTTCACTAATTACTTATGCACGTTTGAAACCTTTATTTCACCCGCAGTAACGGAATACGTCGTCAATGTTACAACACTTCGAAGCTATGACCCGCCATATACCGGATTAGGCTACGGTCCAGACTCCAGTAGCAGCATTTCGGGGTCATCTAGTCCAAATGTCAGCATCACAACGTCCGTCTCAACAACCACGTCGACAAGTTCGGTCAGCATCAACCACCGCGGAAGTCATGGGATTGATATCTCGTCCGAGGAGAAAGTGGAAGCTTTCATGAGACAAATTAAGGTGAGATTTTTAAAAATGATGATCAAAGCAACTACCGTAAAAATCCAAATAGTAGCAGGGTGACTTATCATAATTTCATAAATAGCGTTAAAAATGACGAAAAAAATTACCGTAAAACTTGAAATAGTAGCCATGTGGCTTTTCAAAATTTTAGAAACTAGCGTATAAGCCCGTCTCCCGCCGGGCGAGAGTGAATTTGATGTTAAAAATTCCACCAATTAATATTATTGCTTTCTCTACTTTCACTTGCGTCACGGAAAATTATTTTGCTTCCGTTGCAGACAAACATTTCCAGCTTATAATATAGAAGAAGTGACACTGAAATAGTTCCGTCAAGGATTTTACAATTACTAGCCCCTCGGCTACTATTTGAGTTTTTACGGTACATACATACGTACAAAATATGTTCTGAGAAATGAATGAAATTGAAAATTCATTAATTCTCTTCTGATGCCACCTGGTTTTCCAAAAATAAAAAAACGTCGCTTGCTTATTTCATATCCAATTATTCATCTTTGAAATTCCAATTGTGTCCTTGACAGGTGAAAATGTGGGCTTGGTCGCTACCCCACCGTTCCATTTATTACTTTTACTTTTACTCGTTTTCTTTCTTCTTTCTTCCTTTCGCTTTCTCTTTTTCTACACAATTTTCATTTTGAGATTCAACTAAAATCTGGAATTGATTTGATTGCCCCCTGTTAAGGCGATCAATCTGTTTCATGGGATCGATTTAATTATGTGGATGTCGACCTATTTTTCCTCTCCCTTTCCTCGCCCGCTTTCTCCGCTCGAAAATAGCGTCGTCGTACAAATCCTTCTTTTCATTATTAGTGTCTGTCGATCCGCTTCTCCTTTGTTCCGAGTGTTTGGTCGATTCCGAATTTCGATTTGATTTGATTATGATGGATGGAGTACGTTATGTTTTGTAGCGAAGGGAGGGAGAGTGAAACAGGCAAAGACAACGAGGTTACAGTTATGTGGGCAGTGGCCGCGGAAGCTGGGGGGACTTCGGGGGACGTTAATATTGTAGTTTGGGTTTGGTTTGTGCTTTAATCATGGATAACGGGGAAGAAAATCCAGGAAAATTCCAACGGAGTGTAAACAACCGACCCTAAAAATGGACTGAAATTCCCGAAAACGTTCCAAATTTCTAAAAAATATCTTAAAATTTCCTGAAAATTCCCGTAAATTTCCTCCCGTCTTCCCGGCAAACACGTTTGCACTTTTGCACCACGAACCTGCGCATTGTAGGATACATATCCATGCATTGTAGGGGGACATGGGGACATAGCCCCTCTATCCCCACCCTTCCGCGGCCACTGATTCTGCATGTAGGAACATACGCAACATGGAATGGTTTCATGTGGCGATGAAAAAAGACACGTGTTAAAGATAACCAGGAATAAGTTTCTCTCTGACATGGGTGGGAAAGCATTAAAGCGAATGTCGTGTTATTATCGACATTCTCACCAGGTCACCGTGTCACACTTTTGGTTCCTGGGAGGGAGGAGGGCATGCAGTCGAAATGTGAATCGTTTCCTCGCCCAAATTGTGTAAACATTTACGGTTTTCCGTTTTCAGTTTCCTGTTTCTCTCATTCATTTGTGCCAAATTACAGTTTGTTGTACTTCCTCACGACTTAAGGATCCTTTATGGATGACATTTAGGCAGGAAGGGCGTTGTCTTTGGTTGGTGGTACATGTTCATTCATTTTTTAAGGTTTTCTTAATGCGACCCGACACGTATGTATGTATGTTACAGTGGCCGCGGAAAGGTGGGGGCAGGGGGGCAATGGCCTTACGGTTATTCGATGTCCCCTTCATCTGCCCATCTTATATAAACCCGTCCCTCCACTATCCCACAATGTTAATGTCCCCACGGCTTCCGCGGCCACTGTATCTATGTACATATGAAGAAATGGATGCATGTATGTTTGCAGTTTCGATTTCTAAATGATCGTACATAAAACCCATTTACTTATTTATGTAAGAAAGTAGTTTTTTATAAGGTCAATTTATCATCCGCCTTTTGTTGGTCAGATTTTTATTGTTATCTTGTTGTATAACTTGCAGGTTCATGGGGATTTGACGAACGTGTTGATAACACAGTTGCAGCCGTTCACCATGTATGAGATATCAGGTATGAATTTTATCTATTTAGGAGGGGAGGTTGTGTACTATCAACTCCCGGATCTCGATGCCCTTTGGATATGTGGTAGTGTCCCATGAATGAACAAGAACCCTGAAGTGGTTTGATTCCATGGCCACATTTGCGCCCGCCACACCCACTCAAAGGTGCCCAAAAATCGCTTTCACTCTAGCTTTCACTCATTCAAAATAACGCCAAAAATCCAATTTTACTCCGATTTTTAAATTTATTTCACCATTATACTCCCAGATAGTTGCTCTCTTATATACAGCATCAAACTCAACTTTTTTGATGATTATCTCGCAGAAATAATTTGTTTTGTTGATTTCCACAACAATGCTCATTCAGAATTTTAAATTTTAAAAATACTAAGAATTCCAAAAAGTTGAATTTGATGTTGTATATAAGAGAGCAACTATCTGGGAGTATAATGGTGAAATAAATTTGAAAATCGGAGTAAAATTGGATTTTTGGCGTTATTTTGAATGAGTGAAAGCTAGAGTGAAAGCGATTTTTGGGCACCTTTGAGTGGGTGTGGCGGGCGCAAATGTGGCCATGGCATTAAACCACTTCAGGGTTCTTGTTCATTCATGGGACACTACCACATATCCAAAGGGCATCGAGATCCGGGAGTTGATAGTACACAACCTCCCCTCCTTAGTTACAATGGAGGTCTCCCAGCGCATGCTCTCAGATTTTGAGTAAATTAGTGTCAGTCTGTTACAAGTTTAATTAGTGTGAAATTTGGGAAAGACACGATCTCCCAATGGGCACGTTTGGCAGAGATATTTGCATCCGAAGAGGAGAAAGCGCACCTTAAAGTCGACAAATTTTACACTTTCTAAATTTACTGTGCTCTTTCTCCTCTTCGGATGCAAATATATCTGCCAAACGTGCCCATTGGGAGATCGTGTCCTTCCTAAATTTCATACTAATTAAATTTGAGATCAATTTACACTAGTTTGCTCAAAATCAGAGAATATACGCTGAAAGACCTCCATTGTTAGCTACCAGCAAAACCCAAAATTAATAATATTCATACCGATTTTTTAGTGATTGCATTCAACATTCATGGTCGCTCGTTACCCTCCAACCGCGTGCGGACGCTTACCTTGGCACCTGGAATTGTTCGTCCAAATTCAACCACACCCCCAACCCTGCCAGACATTCAGACGTGCTGTATCCAAAGTGGAGTCAACTCTGAAACGTAAGAAACTTTCTTCCTGGGAGGAGAAAGCCCCGAAAAATTATTAATGTTCTTTCGGGGCAACGGTCATTGCTAATGATGGGAACATGATTCGATGATTCTGAGCCAACACGGTGTCACGCCAACCCCACGAGGCATCCTTCATAATAATTTAATCCGCCGCATCAGTGGCCGCGGAAGCTGTGGGGACAAGGGGACAGAAATTTAGGGAAAATTCTATCTTCCACAAGCTTTGGAATTTATTTGTTAATAAGCCCCTCATGCTCCTATCTCACAATTCTAATGTCCCCATATGTCCCCCCACCTTCCGCGGCCACTGTTCCCTCAAGACAATCAGGGTGGATTTATATCTGAACCCACAATTCAATTCTTTCTTACTCCATCGTGTTTGGGATTTCCCTTCTGTTTTCCTTCCGCTTTCTCTTTCTCTTTCCCCTCCTCGATAAAGAATTCCGGCCATTTCACAACATTTAATTTGACACGCAGTTAGTCAGTTAGTTGGTTAGTGTTTAACTGAGCGTGAAAATTTCGTGTTGTTCGGAATGATAATCTTCTTATCTTGGATGTTATGTTATGTTGCCATTTTCTTTTTTATACGATATCCCTCCATTAAATCAACTTTCTCTTTCGTTGATGAGACATTTTTTGTGTTACTTTTTGTTTTTAGTTGTGTAGCCAAGCTGTGCGACCCCAGGAAGACGACGACCCTGGAAATTCCCGACTTGATGATTTGCGCCCCCTGGACACCACAAGTTTTCAAGTGTCTGGCCGATGGGAAGGATCACACGCCGTGTTGTCGTGAGTAGTCATTCATAAACTTACAAGGGAACCTTTTATCAAGTTAGGCTCGGATTGTGGGGCGAGTTATGTCAAAAAATCAAGCCAAAAATTAGGAATTGGATGGCACTTATCTTACCGTTAAATGGCCCCTAGGAAGTAAAATATGACCAACAATGTTCAATTTACTAGCAAATTTTCTCTGGTTTTTCCATCACGGAAGGAAATCAAGGAACTTTGCCACCTAATATTTTTCTTTAAAGGGGCCATTCAACGGAATGATAAGCGCCATGTGATTGCTAATTTTTAGCTTGATTTTATGGTATAACTCGTTAGAAAATCTAATTGTAACTTAAGAAAAGATTCCCTTGTTAACATTTATTCGTACAGGTCACCGTGTCAAGCTCTTATCTTGCTCTTAGGTGAAAGAGGTGTCCCTTCCCCCTGCTCGGACCTTTGTTCCGGAAATGTTACCAAGTTGGACTACCATTACTTCAAGTAAGCAATTAAATAAATTAGATTTGCATGTAGATGTAGATGTATCTCCTTAAATGAATCAAAACCCTTTCCTCTTTCAAAGAAAATAGTTATCTTATCTACGTCATCGCTTCCTTCTTAGTTCCGATAACAAAGGAAGTGTCAGTGAGACTGACAAATTCGCAAATCTATAATCTAACTTAATTATGACTTCATTTGCCTTTCTATTCTCTTCCTGGGTTTGCATTTGAATGTCAGACTTACCTACACCCACAGTCCTCCGTCCAGACCAGTGGCCGCGGAAGTGTGGAGACATAGGGACAATGTCCCTACGGTTGTTCGATGTCCGCATCATCTCCCCATCTTATACAAACCCATCCCTCCTCCATCCTGCAATGTTAATGTCCCCACGGCTTCCGCGGCCACTGATCAGACACACCACCCACTCCGTGCCAACTTAACTTTCTCGCCTGCTACTACATCTTCTACTCTAGTTTATTTTATAGTGGGAAGTTTTCTCATCTGCAAAATGTCGTAGGTAGTTTATTTTTAACCGAAACCAAATCAATCAAGAGAGTGGATGAATGGAGAAATGAAAGTGTACAGGATTCAGAGAGAGGAACTTACAAGGGAGGTCTCCCAGCGGATGCTCTCAGATTTTGGGCAAACTTGTCACTTAATCAGAAATTTAATTACTATGAAATTTGCAAAAGGCACGATCTCCCAAGGGGCACGTTTGGCAGATATTTTTGCATCCGAAGAGGAGAAAGCGCGTAGTAAATTTAGAAAGTGTAAAATTTGTAGACTTTACGGAGCGTTTTCTCCTCTTCGGATGCAAATATCTTGGCCAAACGTGCCCATTGGGAGATCGTGTCTTTCGCAAATCTCATCCTAATTAAATTTGTCATCGATTGACATTAATTTGCCCAAAATCTGAGAGCATCCGCTGCGACACCTCCATTGTTAGCAAAGCTACATCTCGTCTCGAAACCTGGCCGGCTGAGGATGAGAAAGTCGAGGAGGAGACAGAGAGGAGAGAATCCCTTTGTCAATAATGTAATTCCGTTTCACTTTGGTTTAGTTTGCTTTGCTAAAAGGCCAACTTGAAGAGAATATAAAAGGGATTGACGAGTTTCAAAATTATTGTTTTACAACTCCTCTCTCGCTCGGAGATGAGAAGGAAAAGAGATATATTTCGAGATTGTCATTCTTCTTCTTCTTCTTCAAAGGAAAATTCTTTAAGACGCAGTAGAAATTGAGCACGGGGAAAAAGTCGACGAATAAAAGTTGAAGAATAAAAGTGTGCAGGGGCCGCGGAAGGGTGAGGACAATGTCCCCACTGTTATTCGATGTCCGCATCATCTGCCCATCTTATATAAACCCCTCCCTCCCCTACCCTACAATGGCAATGTCCCCACATGTCCCCACGGCTTCCGCGGCCACTGAATCTGTGTGATCCAATTATAACATAAATCTGCAGAGATAAAAATATCTATCGTCATCTTCTCTTCTTGACAAATGATGATCATCGTGTTATGTAGTTCTAGATGGTGTCTGGATTTAATAGTAATAACTTCTTGGCTAAAAATCCAACTTTATTTAGCCCGAGTCAGGTTATTGTCAATAATTGAGCATAATACAACTTTTTGTATTTTTCGACAAATTCTGCTTATCTTCGAAGTTGATTTCTAATTTTGCATATTCTACATGTGTCCAAAAATGCAAGTCGATTGGATAAGTTTTACGAGCTTAATCGATAGTCAGACCGACATACAAACACGACTGGCCTGACCCGGGCTAAAAACCCACAGATATATTTAGCCCGAGTCAGGGTGTTACTCATAAATAATTTTGCATATTTAACGTGTGTCTAAAATTTCAAGTTGATTGGATAAGTTTTATTAAACATAATTGGTAGACAGACAGACTGACAACCATGACTCGTACATAAGCCCTAATTCGGGCTAAAAAAATGAAGTAAACTTTTATACGAAATTTTACCCTCGAAATAAACGCTAATGAGTATGTTTCCACTACATGTACTTTTTTTTATGGGGAATTTACTCAAGAAATAAACGATAAGTACTTATCAATATTTTTTTTATTTTTTCCCAGGTGTCTCCGTTACATGTCCGAGTACTCGAACTGTCTCATGGACGGGTATGGCGTCCTGCCCTCCGCGCCGCGACAAGTCCGCGTCTCCAATGTCAACGAGGACTTCGTCTTTATCCACTGGTCACCTCCGGCCGTCCTGGTGGAAACCGTGACCGGCTACAATATTCATTACAGACCGTTGGGAACATTCGAAAATTTGTATACACACATCAAAAATGTTCATTCACCGTACATTTTAGAAAATCTGTACGCCAACGCGGAATATGAGGTGAGTAGGACACGATTTAAAATCAGTGGCCGCGGAGGAAGGGTGAGGGGACAGAGGGGCAATGTTCCCAGGGGTATTCAATGTCCGCATCATTTCCCCATGTTATATAAACCCTATCCTACAGTTGAAATGTCCCCAGATGTCCCCACAGCTTCCGCGGCCACTGCTTGCACATATGGATGAACTTTAAATGTCGCCGGCTTCAGTGGCCGCGGAAGTAGAGGGACAATGTCCCCACGGTTGTTCGATGTCTTCATCATCTCCCCATCTTATATAAACCCCCACCCTTCCCCTATTCTAAAATGTCCCCACATGTCCCCACCGGCTTCCGCGGCCACTGCCACTAAAATTATCCATCATTCCTGCCCACTGAGTCGTATTTCTTTTTAATTGAGCATTTCCAAGTACATTCCGATCTATAAATTTTGATCTATAAATACGGAAAAGTTGAAATTCGCAATGAAATGGGGAATGAATGCATCACTTCCTTTATTTATTGGTCGTTTGAAAAATTAGAGTGATTACGAACGAACGCGAGCCCTTTAAAATTATCTCCTCGCTGCACACGCAAGTTGTTGACTATAGGCTTTTGTTTGGTTTGGTGTGCACGCAGGGGCCGCGGAAGCCGTGGGGACATTAACATTGTAGGATGGGGGAGGGAGGGGTTTATATAAGATGGGCAGATGATGGGGACATCGAATAACCGTGGGGACATTGTCTCAAGCTTCCGCGGCCACTGTGCGCACGATAAAGTGAACGAGTCAGTAGAGCATGTTTTAGACCTCGTGGTTTCAGTCCGTGTGGAGAAAGTCGACGAGACTAAAGACTCCCAAAAGACTAACAAGAACACGACCAAGTGAGCAAAATTAAGAGTAGTTGGCATCCCATTTCTCCTACATTATTGCCCTCTTTGCTTGGTTTGCTAGTGGTATTGGCAAGAGTGGAATTTTGAGAGAAATTTACTTGATTTGGTTCTCGGTGAAAGGAGTGGAGTATGTATGTATGGATGTACATGAACAATAAACAAGTAACTAGCCAGGGTTGCGTTTTTGACGTTACAAAACTGTAAAAAAAATTAGAAAATATGAAAAAGTGCTGCCAAGTTCTTTGTTAACGATTTTTCTGCCAATTTATTCGTAGATCTGCGTATAATCTCCCATTAATTTTGAGCATTTTACTTGGTCTGTAATACCACGCAATTTAGAAAAACTTTTTATTTTCGCATATTTTCTTGTGAAAAATTTTCTAAACCATGCCGTACACCGATTAATTACAAACCGAAATGTTTAAAATTAATATATAGGAGATTACAAATACTTCAACGGATCATCGAAAGATTCAATGACAAAGAACTTGTAATATTTTGCCCAATTTTCTACATATCTTCCACACTTTTGAGCATTTTAGGCGTCGAAAAATGGTTAAAACCAGACTTGCATTCTTAGTCGGACCTGGCCATCCTGACCCCGACCAAGATTGCAAGTCTGGTTTTAACGATTTATCAACCTGTAAAATGTGTCCAAAAGAAAACGGCAAAATGTTCCAACTTCTGCATTATTGAATCTTTCACTTGCAAGTCGGATTTAAATCACAGCGAAACCCTGCAACGGTTTCAACCCACCACCACCACCACCGTTCATCTTAATTAGCGCAGAGTACTGTGTATTGAATTGAGTGCATCCCAGTAATGATTTCTGTTTTCCTTAATTCAAGGTTTACGTGGAGGCCGTTAATGATCACGGTGTGAGCGAGGCGTCCCAAAGGGTCGTGTTCCGAACGGCAAGTCAGAACGAGAAAAATGCAGAACTCGAAGCCAACTCGAACCTCTACAACGAAACGGCATGTTGCGTCTCGGTAAGAAGGAATTTCCCAGAATTTTTTCAATCTACTCGCTCCGCTACAAAGTTGGAAATCGAATTTTTGTCAATTGCAATGTAACCAATTTCCGTGATGAAATGTGAATTGTTTGCGGAGAGAGTTTTTTATTGGAGAAAGTTGTGAAAGCTATATCGTCAAATTTGACTGAATAAGCGCTTCAGAAATTTTCTTTCTTCACCCAACTTTTTATTCGGCTTGTAAAAGTTACACAATTTTTGATCAAATTACTTTACATCACTTGATAAATAAGACTGTTACTAAATTCGCCAGATAAATTAAGTACAAATTTAGCTTTCACCGGAAATGTTTATCAAATGGAAAGTAATCTCGCTTTAAATTTTAATATTCCTTTCTCCTTTAAAAATAGCGATTTCACTTATTCACCGGATAAATTAAGGACAAATTTAACCATTTAACTTTCACCGGAAATGTTTATCCGGGGAGAAAGTAATCTCAATTTAAAAACTTTATATTTTGCTCTCTTCCCTAAAAATAGGCCGGGCTAAGTCCGACGTGCATGCCATTGTGCAGTTATGAGGGTAAGAAGACTATTAATTTGCATTAAATCACTTATTAAACGATTTAACTATTTATATTAAATTTTGTTATTTAGCGTCCATGAGTGACATCAGGACCCTCGCGTTTGCCTGCGCGTCAGAATTTCACACCATATTACGCTGCGCTGCCGTAAGTAAAATAATATTGTAATAATATATGGGGAGATTGCGAATTAAAGGTTTTTGCACAAAAATTTTCAAATGCAAATACTAAATTTATCATTGTCGTAAATGAGAAAATTTACCGTTTACGTGCGAACTTAGTGTAAAAATCCTGTCAATTAAATTGCCCTAAATTTAAAATTCAGTAATGAGCTTCTTAAATTGTTAAATTTATCATTTACGCCAATGATAAATTGAACGATTGCGTTTGGAAATTTTGTGCAAAACCTTAATTCGCAATCACATTGTCGCATGGTTTGGATAAGTCTTAATTATTATTCTTCACAATCTTGCTCTAGGGAGGAAGGGACCATTCTACTTGTTGCGGTAATTAACAATTTCATTTAAATGTCTATTAATACATTTCAAGTCAAGTATTGAATCTGTCATGTAAAAAATTTTACATGCAGCAAAGAGAGGCGTCACGGAATCCTGCATTGACGTCTGCTCCGCCAAGGTTCCCGATTCTTTGAAGTTCGTTGCAGAAAATTGTCTCCCCTTTATTGGAAACATTGTCCAATGTTTTGACTCAGGTATTTACATGCGTCATTGATAAGAAAGTATTTTATCTGCTTCATACTGCGTGGGTCTTGGAGGAGTCGTATTTTTATTCAAAATGCTTTCATCGCTTGACGAATTGGAACAGACGCCTGTGGCGTGGCACATGGATAATCATCTTTGTCAAAAAAAACTTTGACCTTCACCATATGCCTCGGGACGACGACGACGAGAGCAGTGTTTCGGGTGAAAGTATTAAAAATTTGGAAAAAATAACGGGGAGAAAGTGGTTTCTTGCAGGGAAATATTTTGCCCTGCAAGAAATGCAAGGCGCGAGAAACTACGACCCGGCGCTATAAATATTTCATATAGCGCGTGGCTAGATGGCGCTTATTTCTTGCACTTTCTCCCAGTTTCTTGTACCTCGTACTTCTCCCGTTTCTTGCTTTGAAGTGCAAGAAATGTAACAAACCTGCAAGAAAGGAAACACTGGGTGAAAGTAGTCACTGCTGACCCCGTGTTTCGGATGAAAGTAGTCACTTGCAAGAAATAACGGGGAGAAAGTGGTTTCTTGCAGGGATATATTTTGACTTACAAGAAATGCAAGGTGCAAGGAACTACGCGCCGCGCCGCTATACTTCACACGGCGCGTGGCTAGATGGCGCATATTTCTCCCAGTTTCATGCACCCCGCACTTCTTTCTTTGCACTGCAAGAAATGCAGCAAAATCCCACCCGAAACGAAACACTGAAGTGAAAGCAGTGAATGAACAAATGTTTCATACATAAATTCTTCATGTCATTCCTTTGAACCACGCAGTCCTGACTGACACGACTAGATAAACTTGGCCTTATAAATTTACTCAGCTTTCTCTCAAGTTCTCAACCCAACTTATTTTATTATTTCTTTGTTACATAGGAACTGAAATTATTCCTCCTGCTGTTGAAGAATTCCACGCATTCTTGGTAACCGATTCCTCCGTGGGTGTGGCTTGGGACCCTCCCGTCGGCTATAACGTGACTCAATACCAAGTCTTCTACCAGTACCAGAATCCCGCATCAAGTCTGAGCAAACCCTCTGATCTCAAATCGGTTCGTTGCCTTATTGGTCTTTTGTCCAGTGGCCGCGGAAGGGTGTGGACAGAGGGACAATGTCCCCACGATTTTTCGATGTCCCCATCATCTCCCCATCTTATACAAACCCATCCCTCCCTTATCCTTACATGTTAATGTCCCCACGGCTTCCGCGGCCACTGAAGAGATATTCCATTTGTTAAGAGAGACATATATATGTACAATGGACGCGGAAGCATGGGCCCAAAAAAGGACAATGTCCCCACGGTTTTTCGATGTCGCCATCATCTTCCCATATTATACAAACCCCTCCCTCCCCTATCCTACAATGCTAATGTCCCCACGGCTTCCGCGGCGACTGATGACCGCAGGAGAAAGTTGACGATTTTCACGTCTCATATTTCCCTTCCAGGTGAATGTCACTGATACATCGACAGAAATCACGGGCCTGGATAAAGACTCGATGTACAAGTTTTACGTCGTGGCGGTGAATGAGCATGGGTCATCGGTTCCGTCGTCAATGGTGCAACTTAAGGTGTCTTCAACGGGTATGTGCATATTTATGATGAACTTTGACATTTATGCGTGGATAATAAGTTACAAAGTGGCAAAATAGACCGAAATATGAGCAGATCTATCCTTACTTAATCTTCCTAGTTTTTGCACAATATGCAAATACCTAAACTGCAGCAGTACTCCAGGAAAACTTGACATTTTTGATGCACCAAGATGCAAATAGTGTGACCTTTGACCTCCCTTACTAATCCGATTGTTTAGCGATCTGATTATGTGACAGAAAAAGTCTGTCTGTGTCCACTATGTATGTACATACTTGACGATATGCTGGTTATTTGACACTTATCAAGTTAGATAAATGAATTAGCACCCTTCTTAGATATTAGATACTCGACTTTCTTTTTGCCGTCGCCCACACATTTGTTACTTATTTAGTTTCAGACAAAGGAGGAGGCACCCACCTTACGTGAAATGCCCCACCGTGATATTCGGCTCAATTTTTGATATGTTGTACATTTCGACGTGGCGAACAAAAAATGTATTGGTCCCTAAGCCCTAAGTGACCTGGTTTGACCGGAAACAGAGGTCAAAGGTCAGTGCACTTTTTCGCTCGAAACCCCAAAAACCGTATATTTTTGGAAAGCTACGGACCTCACAAGTCCGAGTATACACCATACTTGGGTCAAAGGTCAACCCTTGACCCTTCAAGGCCAATCCTTAACCTGGCGAGGTCAACCCTTGACCCATCGAGGTGAAACATGTCATTGAGGCAAGGTAAGATTTTTGGGGAAAAGTGGCCAAAGTACATTTCTGATAGGATGACTGCAGCCTTGTTGGAAAAGGTCATTATTTTATAGTTGGTTAATACTAACATTTGGGTTTATTGATCTTGATTATGTAGCGTTAACCAACTATAAAATAATGACCTTTTCCAACAAGGCTGCAGTCATCCTATCAGAAATGTACTTTGGCCACTTTTCCCCAAAAATCTTACCTTGCCTCAATGACATGTTTCACCTCGATGGGTCAAGGGTTGACCTCGCCAGGTTAAGGATTGGCCTTGAAGGGTCAAGGGTTGACCTTTGACCCAAGTATGGTGTATACTCGGACTTGTGAGGTCCGTAGCTTTCCAAAAATATACGGTTTTTGGGGTTTCGAGCGAAAAAGTGCACTGACCTTTGACCTCTGTTTCCGGTCAAACCAGGTCACTTAGGGCTTAGGGACCAATACATTTTTTGTTCGCCACGTCGAAATGTACAACATATCAAAAATTGAGCCGAATATCACGGTGGGGCATTTCACGTAAGGAGGGTGCCTCCTCCTTACATAAATATTAGATTACGTAACAGTTCAGTTTCAGCCGATATGAAACTTATCCTTAGTCAGATGCGAAACCCGACGTGTCTTTTTAGAAATTACTACATCATGTAGGGTGTAAAAGTGCACAATATCTTGAGAAAAGCGTCGGTGAAAAAACCCACATTATCAGAAGTTTGTTCTTTGTGTCGAGTCGTCCGAAAACTTTTGAGCTTATGTAGAAGCTACATATCTGACAATAATATGATATCGAAAACGCGTCAGTAAATTGTTACTGGTGGGCTTGTCTCAATTATTTCTTCTGATTTGCAGCATTTGACGGAAGCAAGATTCCCGGAATTGTGTCAGGTAACAAGATTTTTGTAAATCAAGCTTGATGTGAATAAATCAAATCAAATTGATATCTGAATATTAATAGTTGACATTTAACACTATTTTTGACCATATATTAATTTTATCATTAGCCCCCCACGGCCTCGTCGTTGCCGGTCATGGAGCCACGTGGGTCCAGATAGTCTGGCAGCCACCAGCGATTGCCCATCCAACGGATAAAATCACGTACAAGTAAGTATCGTCTTTCTTTGTTTGAAGTAAAATGTGACGAATTTCGCTCCGAATTTGTGTTGTGATCCCCGTAATTTGAAATTTGTATCGGGTTTTCAAATTTCCTTTGAACAACCCTCGAGTTGAGCTGTAAAGAGTCCGGAACAAAGAATCAGCCATCAAACTTTCTCCTTGTTTGTTTGTTCTCTTGCACTCAAAGAATGTTTACAACTCAAAGAAAAATCGTTGATTTTTTGAATATCTATACAAATGTCCAAAGAACAGTGGCCGCGGAAGGTGTGGGGACATTAACATTGTAGGATGGGGGAGGGACGGGTTTATATAACATGGGGAGATGATGCGGACATCGAACAACCGTGGGGACATTGTCCCTCTGTCCGCGGCCACTGGCTCCAGATCAAGAGGCGTCGTGTTGATCGAACACTTTTCCAATCGAATATTTGATCCCTACTTTACCCCCACTTTGTCTACAAACTTGTTCAAATTACCACCTACGGGTTATATAAAATGTGCATAACATGACATCCTTACTTTCTCCGCAGAGTGTATCATCGCGGGGTGAAGGAGTCGGAATACCAGACGAACGAGAGTTCCGTGAATTCCGTAACTTTAGACGGACTCAAGCCCAACTCGCAGTACATTTTGTATGTCACGGCCCGATCAAATGACGACAAAGGGGAATCTCAAGCCTCTGAAACATTAATCGCGTGGACCGACCCGGCCCACTCTCCCTTTGTTGAGGTACGTATTGCATTTTTTGTTTGTCATTTTATTAAAGGGCGGAACCTGTTTATATGTAAGATCGTTATGTCCGTCCGTCTGTCCATTGGTCCGATAACTCGTGAAGGAAAAGATATAAAAGCTTGACATTTTGAACGTGAACTCTTAACGTTGGGGAGACTTCGATAATGGTGACTGAGGTAACACCCTTCAAGGTCAAAAAAGGTCAAAAAGGTCAAAACGGTCAATAAAGTTTACATTGGATATATATTTTTTGAGTGGAAATTTAACCCCAAATTCAATAGTGACCTCCATTTTGACCTCAAAGGTCACAAAATTTTAAATTGCATACATATGTCACAAATTTAAAAAAACTGACACGTCCGTCGTCAATTTTAACAAATTTTGGAGGGACAAAAACAATATATGATTTTCATTTTGACATATGACACTACTTTCACCTCTTGGTTACATGCGTTTGTAACGGTTTATTATATACAACGCTTTCTTCTCCTTTGCAAAAAACCTTGAGATGAAAACACCACTTTGTTTCCTTCCTGTTCGCTTGTTGTTGTCCTCGACTTTCTCCTTTGGACTTATTGAAATTCGAGATCAAACCAAAAACTTGGCACGTTTAACATTTTATTTATCTGATCCTAACATTGATCCATTTCATTTTATTTGAATTCACAGCCTCCACGAATCCAACCTTTGAATCTGCTCATTGAAGGGAGGTCAATGACGGTCGTGTGCGTCGCACTGGGCGACCCGACGCCCAGCATTTCCCTCTATATTAACGGGAAGCTGATGAAAACGCAGAAAAATCGACATTTGACTCAAGTCGTGGAGAATATTACGAGAGATATGGGTCCGTTTTTCATATTTAAATTTGGCTTTTAGTGTATTTTTTACTTATGTTTTTGTCGATGTGTTTAGATATCGTGTCATGTTACGCGGATAATGGCTATGGTAAAAAAATTACAAATTAAATTGCAAATTAAATAAAATTTCAGAAATAAAACTAAATTTTGTATTTTTTTAGGGACTCCAATGCAAGCTGCCAGAAGAATCCAAGTTGCACGTAAGTTATATTTTTATGGTTTTGAAATACATAAATATCGTCGCTGTTCGTGGAAAAATTGTCGGTCGAGAAACCGTTCGGAAACGGAAGTTGTCACCTTCAAAAACCAATCAGAAACATAAGATTTCAGATGAAAATGTGGGGAAAATGATGCGACAACTTATGTATCCGACAGGATTTGAGGGCGACAATTTTGGTTTCCGAACGGTTTATCAACCAACAACTTTTGCACGAACAGCAACGATATGTATTCACATTATTTATGTACTGCAGTTATTTAATTAATTTTGCGTATCACAGATTTGCCCAGCATTTCCGGCTCCGACGTGACTTATGCTTCTCTCGGAGATTCGGCAAGTATTGAATGTTCCGTGGTTGCATTTCCAGGTAATTTTTGTGTAGCTTATCATAAGAAATGTTCCGAAAGTTAATATAACAAATAAGAATAAGAAACGTAATCACTTCCAGAGCCCAAAGTAGCATTTTGGAGATCCTCTTTGGAACGTATCCCCATCGTGAACGGGGGAAATTTCCGTATCGAACATGTCGACGATGCACCTCTGCCATTGTTGGACGTAAGAATATCTAAATTTTCAATGCTTTTTATCCCGGCGAAATATGTATGCTGATTTTTTTCGTATTTTATTTTGATTTTAGCAACCACACAAATCGAAATACGTCCTAAAAATTATGAACGTTTCTGAAGAAAGTATCGGTAATTACTCGTGTCATGCTGAAAATGCGATTGGAGAGATGTCCAAGACATTTATCGTCAAAACGAGAGATCTTCAGGTGAGGTTACGGTTGTCTCTCTAATTCCAGTGGCCGCGGAAGCCGTGGGGACATCGGGGGACACTGCCATTGTATGATTAAGGGAGGGACGGGTTTATATAAGATGGGCAGAGACGATGCGGACATCGAACAACCGTGGGGACATTGTCCCTCTGTCCCCACACACCCTTCCGCGGCCACTGTCTCTCTCTAATTCAATATATTTCTTGGGAGGGTGACACCACTCACTTAACTTAACTTTTTCCCTACTTTCTCAGGACTCAAGTATGAACATCACGGAATGCTGTGTCAGGTTAGTAGTTGGCTGTCTTAAATAAGGTTCCATTTGATTTTACCGTGTCATATTTAATTCTAACTTTACTTCCGGTTTAGAGAGAAAGTGAGCGAGGGGTGCATGGACGCTTGCTCCTTTTTCAGTGACATTGAGTCCATCCTGGATAAACCCCAGTGCCTCCCAGACTTTGACAAATTGATGAAATGCTCCGCAGGTAATAAATTAATATGGTTTGGTAAAATGCTGAATCAGTAGTAACTCTTACGGTTTTGCGCAGATGGACGTGATCACCGAGCATGCTGGTAAGTGTGGATGGTGTACAAAATAAGTTTCTGAATTATGGGGAATATAAAACCTAACGTTTTTTTATTTGAATGTTTCCTTTTTATATATCAGTGCTAACTGGGGAGTCCCTCGAAGGTGAGTACCGCTTAATGAGTTTCTTAAAATTATTTTATATTTCCTAAAAATACACATGAAATTCATAATATTTTTTGATGTCCTTAGGTGCCTTGATTTGTGTAGAGGAGAACCCGTCTCCCTAAATCCTGATCTTTGCATTTTACAAAATTCCAAGCAAATTTTTAGCTGTTTTAAGGAAAATAGAGGTACGCAAATGAGTCAACTATACATTTCTTTTAGACAAATTTTTCTAAGTTTGTCGTCCTTTTGCAGATAAATTACCTGGACCACCACAAAACGTGAAGGTGGAAGTCATATCAGACACGGAAGTAAAAGTGAGCTGGGAATTCCCAACAATTAATCCAAACACTGCGACTGTCTACAGGTAGAAATCCGCATAAAATTACTCCATGAAATCAGAAATCTTCACTTAAATTTTGACAAATATTTCTTGCGAATTTGCAGAGTATTCTGGAGACCGATCGGCCAAAAACTGTCCGAACGACAAGATACGCAAACGACCAGCTTACGAATCGCCAACTTGAAGCCGGGTCATCACTACGAAACGGTAATTAAAGCTGGAAATAATCGTGGAACCTCCATTCTCACCGAGCCAGTTGGATTTACGACGGAAAACAATTTTATCGCGTCTGCTAGCACCGGTAAAAAAAGATTTCAACGTATGTAAAAATAACTAAATTTTTGCATTATAAAAATGTTTGCAAATTACAGCCGGAGGATCAAATGTAGCGCTCGGATTTGGAATTGCGTTCCTTGTCTGCCTTGTCCTCGGGGCGGCGGTGGCCTCAGTATGGTTTATTCGAAATCGTCAATTTGGTCTCAAGCCGCCGGGTGCTATTGCCTTTGAGAATCCATCTTATATCCGGGAAACTAATCCCGATATCCATGTAAGAGTTTATTTGCATAGTAAATTTATCCAGTGGCCGAGGAAGTGTGGGGACAGGGGGATAATGTTCCCACGATTCAAGCTCATGTTATATTAATCCCCAGTGTTGTAACCAAGAAGTGCAAAAAATTACGGCAAAAAAGTGGTTTCCTGCAGCAAGAAATGCACGGAGCAAGAATCTACCTCCCGTCGCTGTACTTCATACAGCGCGTCGCTAGATGGCGCATATTTCTTGCGCTTTCTCCCAGTTTCTTGCACCCGCATTTCTTCCTTTGCAGTGCAAGAAATGTGGCAAGCCCTAAATCCCCCCTCCCATATTCTATAATTTTAATGTCCCCCTATGTCCCCACGGCCACTGAATTTACCTTGAACCAACTTTTTCCTACAATTTTTCTATTCATGCAGATGAACGGGGATGGACCCTCGAACGGTTCTGTGCCCAGCGTGTCTAACGGGGTCACGGCCAACGGGTGGCACACGGAAACCCTCCATCCTCCCCGACCAGAGACTGAAGTTCCGCCCACGCTGTACGAAGAACTGCGGCTGGGGTCGGAAGGCGTCGGATTTCGCAGACTGAAAAACTAAACTTATAATCTTACATAAGTAACTATCCATTTTTCATAATTGATGGGAGCACCAATCAACAAATTATGTAAAAAAATCACTCGAAACAAAGTACAGTAGAGGTTAGATTTTCTCCGACTGCAAGTAAATATTACGCAAATGACTACATATTTACATATTATGTATCACATTCTTTACCGAATCTCACTCTTTTTTTACTACTTTACTACTTTATTTGTTGGACTTTACTACAAGACAATCTCACAATATCGTCAGTGGCCGCCGCGGAAGGGTGCGGACAGAGGGGCAATGTCCCCATCATCCTCGTCCTTTTTCCCCATCGAAAATGTCCCCAGATGTCCCCCCACCCCTTCCGCGGCCACTGAATATCGTTATCATAAAAAACAAAGCAAGCTAGCAACAACACGCAAGATAAGCCAAGCCACTAGAATATGGTAAATATGTAATTGATTTTTCCTTATTTGAAAAAATGTGATATGACAAGGTGGGTGGATAAATCGGAAAATATGTAAATGTTGTGACAATTTTATAGGTATATAAATAGATCTTAATTGTAAATAGCATTATTTATAAGGTGATAAATACATACAAAACAGAATTATTCTTCCGTCGCTGTTCGACCTACACAATTAAGAGCAGAGATGATAAGACGAGATGCGTGTTGTGATTTTAAAACGGTTTTAAAATGTTACTTTAAGAAAGTCATTTTGTTACTTTCTCTCCTCGTAAATATTTCCATAAATATATTTCGTATGAAGACTAGTCGTCCGGTTGTTGGATGAATGATTGCGATATAACTAGTTCTTAGGATTAGTTAGGGGACGTTCATAAATTATGTAACGCGATAAGAGGGTCTAAGGCTCCAAATGGTAAAGGGAGATCCAGAAAATCGCGATTTTTTCCCCTTACATAATTTATGAACGTCCCCTAAATGAATTAATAAGACCGAATGCCATGTTGTGACCACGTCCGAAAAAGTGTATTACTTATTAAATACTACACCTTGTTATGACCAGATTCTAGTTTAAACTCGATTATTTACTACTGAATATTATCAGCAAACTAAATACCCCACTGTTTATTTACTTGCTTGAGAAGATAGAAAAGTTAAGCTGGTTAGTTAATTTGCTCAGTTTGCGTGTTAAGTAATGCATATTTGCATAGATAATTCCACGTCTTGGCATACGTAGCCTTGATTAACTAGGGTTCTTGAACCAGTTTTTTATGGGACTTGATGAATGGCTGACAGCTAATGTGACATGGAGCGCACTGTATCTTATCGGGTAGTTGATTTGATGTGTGTTAAAAGGTTATGATATAAATCTACATATTTACTGAACTTGACTGCAAATTATCATTTTTACATCGATGATCCAATCCAAGGACAGATTAATATTAGTATAAATACACTTTTCGACTACGTGACTTATGTAACTGATGTCTCATACATACGTAAAACTATTTACATTACCCCGTCTGGTATGTATGTAAGCAAGTCAATTTATACAAACCGTTTATATATAATACTTGATGTTAGTTAAATATAATTATTATTTAAGTTAAGTAGTTTACTATACAATTATGTACGTATTTGTATCCAACGATCGACACATGAATCGTGACGATGAAAAAACCTGAGAAAATTCCATGAAAAGTATACCTTTCGATACAGACCCAATACGTTAATTGGTAATGAAATGTGAGGTAAAATGCACTGCTAGATATAATTAAATATGTAATTTTAGAACTTAAGATATGTTGAATTTTGAGCAAAATTATATAATAGTTTAAAAGCTATGATCATACATAGTATTTTGGAAAATGTGGAGAGTCTCGTCAAGGAGAGATGCTGCTAATCGTTGAAAATTAATTATGTTAATTGTTGTTCCAATGTTTTAGTTTCTTCCTCTCGTAATACGTGTTTATTATCCATAAATGTATAAGCGAGAGTAAGCTGTTATACAAAAAGTAATCTGGCCATGATCATTCGTGATGTGCCAGGTATATAAATTTCGAAAAAAGAAATAAAAACTTGTGATATGAGAAAAGAAAGTGCGTTGTAGTATTTTCATTGTGTGGATTTATTTAGTGTATGGCAATTAGCATATATCAGCATATTTATTTCATTCCATGGTTGTGGTGTTTATGTATGTATGTATGGCTTTTTAAGTGAGACGTATGAAACTGGATACAGTGCAGACATTCAGTGGCCGCGGAAGCTGTGGGGACATTGCCATTGTAGGATAGGGGAGGGATTGGTTTATATAACATTGGGAGATGATGGCGACATCGACCAACCGTGGGGACATTGTCCCTCTGTCCCCACCCTTCCGCGGTCACTGTTCCATGTATGCATGATTTTATAAATGAGGCGTATGAAACTGGATATACAGACATTTTACACATCTCGTTCATTAGTTGACACATACATTCATATTTAAATATTTATGTAATCATGTGCACAACAGATGCACATGAGAAGTTTGCCTTGGTATAATTCGGTGATGATCTGGTCACCTCTGCCAAATTTTGACTGTCAACCGGTATTCGTTTCGCACCCATCCATACTAATTTCAAGGCCAAACATACAAAATCATCACAAAAAGTCGGTCCATGCCATGTATTTGTAAAGGAAAGCCCAACAGCATCTCCAATCACGGCAGGGAATCAATCGATATCAAATCTGGTATCAATACCACCACTTGAGAGCAGATAGCTCCAGTCGGGTTTCCAAATCTCAACAAGTTACACCACAACGCTCCCCAGAAACCATATTGAATTATCCAAAAATTTATTATGGCCAATATTCCCAATGTGACGTTAAACAATGGGCAGAAAATGCCCCTTTTCGGTCTGGGGACGTGGAACTCGCCACCGGGTCAGGTCACCCAGGCGGTTAAGGATGCCATTGATTTGGGCTATCGACATATCGATGGGGCCCATTGTTATCAGAATGAACACGAAGTGGGGGCCGGAATTACAGCCAAGATTAAGGAGGGGGTTATCAAGAGAGAAGATATTTTCGTCGTGAGCAAGGTAAATTTCGGGGTGGAAAATTTAGTTGAGAACAGTGGCCGTGGAAGGGTGGGGACAATTTTCCCCCTTATCCTACAATGTTAATGTCCCCATGGCTTCCGCGGTCACTGCTTTATCCGATCTAATGGCCGCCGAAGCGTGACGTGACAGAGGGACAATGTCCCCACGGTTTTTCGATCATCATTATATAAACCCCATCCTCCCCTATGCTACAATTTCCCCAAATGTCCCCACAGCTTCCGCGGCCACTGTTTGAAAATGCAGGCGTTTTAATTTTCCATTATGTATTTAGCTGTGGAACACGAAGCATCGCCCCAACCTCGTGGTGCCAAGTTGTAAGGGAACATTGAAGGATTTGGGACTGGACTATGTCGATTTGTACTTGATCCACTGGCCGGTCGGGTACCTTGAAGGGGACGACCCCTTTCCCAAGGACAAGGACGGCAACTTCCTCCCCAGCGAGGCAGATTATGTCGATACCTGGAAGGAAATGGAAGAATGTGTCAAACTCGGGTTAACCAAGAGCATCGGGGTGTCCAATTTTAATTCGGACCAAATATTTAGAATCTTGGGAAAATGTACGATCAAACCGGTCGTCAATCAGGTAGGCATATTTTAAAATCTGGTTATAATATATTAAACTAAAATTAAATTTTTTAATCAGATCGAATGTCACCCATATCTGACGCAAAGAATGATGCAGGAATTTTGCAAAGCAAGGGACATTCTCATCACGGGTTAATCCCTCTCACTTATATTTGCATATCCCTTATCAGTGGCCGCGGAAGCCGTGGGGACATCTGGGGACAGTAACATTGGAGGATTGGGAGGGAGGGGTTTATATAAGATGCGGAGATGATGAGGACATCAATAACATTGTCCCGCTGTCCCCACGCTTCTGTGACCACTGTCCATTATGCATGCCTTTTGTATCCCTAATGTACATATTTATTTCCCCCTCAGGTTACTCCCCCTTGGGATCCCCTGCTCGTCCCTGGGTCACGGCTAACGACCCAGTCCTCCTTGAGGAGCCAAAACTTAAAGAAATTGCGAAGAAGTATAATAAAAGTCCAGCACAAGTCGCCTTGAGATGGATGGTATTAATAGCATCTTCATTAATACTGCATTTATGACTAATTTGCATATTAACTGATCAATTGTTATCCAGGTCCAAAGAGACATTATCGCCATTCCAAAAACCGTGAATAAGAATAGATTGATTGAAAATATGAACATTTTTGACTTCACCCTGTCCGATGATGACATGGCTGCCATATTCTCGTTGGAGAAAGAGGGGGGTGCCGGACGCGGGTGTGCCGAATTAGACGCCAAGGGACACAAATATTATCCGTTCAATACGGAATTTTAAAATTTCATTTGCACCCAAAAATTATAATTGAAAAAATTACAGGAATAAAGTTAGTAATATTTTAATGAGTATCATTATAATTGTGCCATTATGAACGTATTACTAAATGAGGACACAATTTTATAGTAAAAATGCTACAAAAATTACGAAAGCTGAAATATGAGCATTATTTTGCGACAAAATCCCAAAACATCAAACCCCTAAATTGGCTACTTATCATAAATTTGGTTATAGACTGTTTACTCTAATTCTATGAATTTTCATCAATTTTGAGACATTTTACCTTAATTTTACCTGTGTTGTACATTCCTTTTGGACGATGCAGAGCATTATGAATTTCGTCTTTTGGACGACATTTAGGCAATTTCTTTCTTCAAGAAAGATTACATTTTTAGACGATTAAAATTTACTAAAATGCGATGAAAATTAAATTTCAAAATTCAAAATTTCAGAATTTTGTCCCATCTGAAGAACATAGCAAACGTGAGACAAAAAGACTGCCATTCTATCCCTTTGGGCACCAATCCCGAAATAAAAACAACTTTCCACTCCACGTAGTATTGCTTTGTGCTTTAGTACTTCAGCAATTAAAATACTACAAAAATACTAGTAATATGACTCCAACAATTAGAAATTAATTATTGTGCCAATTTTGCACACAAAACTAACTAACTGAGCCAGTGTATCAAGTGTTTATTCTATTGTGTCACGATTATACGCAATATTTAACAGTGCAAGTTTAATCCAGTGATTTATATAAAACTTGCCTATTTATAATTACATTTCACCGGCTCGTCATCCGTCGGATCAATTTTGACTTTAAATTTAAAAAATGTCCAAGAATTCTGGAAAATCTAGAAGATTTGTTCCAGAGAAGGAAGAGAAACGTCCCAGTGTGTTTGAACGATTGGGAGTTCGCAGGTAAGTTAAGTTTAATTGTAATTGGTAAACCTAAATATAAATATTACGTATATTATATTCTTTAGAGATAATTCTAGCATCGCTAATTATACGAGCGAGTCTCGTTGGCCAGACACAATGGTAACCTAAATATATAATCTTCACCTACGTAAAAATTATAAATTACGCTCCATCATTAATTTCCACACCTTTTTTACCCCCCAATTAACAGCAAGGACATAGTTCCTCAACGAGAGAACGAGACACGTCCCGCCCCCGTGGCAGTGGTCCCCTTTCCTTCGACAAACGCCAATCGCCAAGTTTCTCCCCTCCAGTTAAAAACAAGGAAGCGAAACTATCTACGCCGAAGAAGAGTAATCCCAATTCAAAGAGGTTACCACGATCGGATGAAAAACGCGGGAGTAAAAAAGATAAGCAGCGGTCCGCTGACAAGAGCAAGACTATTATCGACAAGAAGAAGAAGAAAGGACAAAAAACATCGTCAGCCAGCTCTGGAGAGACGTCGGACGATGACAGTTCAAGCAGTCAGTCTTCTTCATCCTCCAGTTCGACAAGTTCGAATAATTCGTCATCATCTGATAGTTCTGTCCCCTCTGTGCAATTAAACAGTGAGAAAACTAAGGCTAAAAAACCTCTAAAAAGCAAAGTTCTTGATAACAGCGGTAAGAAACGGGCCCCACTTCCTGCTACCGCTACTTATCACTCTTCTCGCAGTAGTAGTTCTGGAGTCGATTCATCGCCCACTAAGAGGGGACCGATTCCGATAGATTTGAGAGAAAAGTTAAACGCGAGGTCACCTTCAGGTGGTGTCAGTAAGGATCAGTATCAAAAGAAGATTCAACCAGGCGATAAACGACCGAAGCCGTATAATAATAATAGTGGACCGCTACCATTGTTGGATGATCGAAATAAAAAACGAGGGCCGCCAGATCATCATACTTCTTCGCAAGATGATATGAAAAGACGACGATTATTGTCACCACCACCGCATATAGGTAATAAATACAGAGTTGGACCTCCGGAAGATCCACCTTATCATCATCGCCGTGCTCCGCCTCAAATTCCAATGCATTCCGAACATCCGAAGCGTGGAAGAAGTCCGCAGAGCTATCATAATAAGGATTCACATCAGCAGGGTCAAAGGTATGTACAACAGCACGTTTAACAAGCGGGGGGAGGGGGGAGGCGAAAAACCGGGAACCTTGGCCGTTTTAGGACCCTTTATTTTTACGGTGGTCAAACCGTCAATGCCCGTTTTTTATGGGAATTTTCCGAGATTTTCGTTTCCGTCCCCCCCCTTTTCCTAAAAAAACAGAATCCGACCCCACGATGTAGTTCTTACTATCTTAAAATCTTATATACTCATTTTGTTACTTCTTAGATCAACCCACTCCTCGGATAGACGTCTCGATTTGCCACCACGACGCCACCCAGCAGACCGCCCCGATGTCCGTAATAATGACCGAGGAGACCGAAGAAATTCTCCTTATAATTCAAAACCAGATTACGACAAGAGGAGAGATCCACCTCCTGAATTCGGTCGAGTTGGTGGTGGTGGTGATAATCGCCCACGAGAACGTGTAGCTCCTCCTATTCGATCATCACAAATGGACATGCGGCAGGATCGAGACAGAATGGATCAGCGTCCACCAAATAACGATTATCAAAGACGTCCCACACAGCAAATGAGATCTCCGTATAATTCTTCTTCTGCTGACCAGGGTCGGAATAATAATAATTTCAACAATAGCTACAATAAAGGAAGTCCAGCCCCGTATGAAATGGATCGTCAGAGGTATTAGATAGATGATAAGGCCTTATCCTCAGTTAATTATTATTGCCTCGGTTTAATTTAGTTTTTCTTCCAGGTTCCCCCAACAAAATTCGACCAGTAGACCGGACGAAAAGCGACAGACACTTCTTCCCAAGAGCAAAGAAGCCTTGGCAGAAAGATACGAACAAATGAGAAAATCTGGCTATGTCGACAAATGGGTTGACGAAACGGTGAAAGCGACTCATGATACGCAACGCGGTTCTGAAGATGCTCCATCCCCATTGTTATCAACGCCTTCATCAAAGTCCGCCCTTTCTCCGGCTAGATCAACTACCAAGGCAGAGGATAAAGATGCAGGGAAGGATGCCAACAAAATCGAGGCAATACTTCCTCCCGTCGATGACCTTAGCGACTTTAGTGACGATGCAGACGAACTCTTAAACGTAATTCCTCCAGAACCTCCTGCGGAAACTGAACAAGCAGTTACAGAAGAGTTAAACAAGTCTCCTGTTCTCCCTCCCAAGAAAGAACTTGCTCCTGAAAAACAAACAGTTATTGAAACACCCGTCCCAATTCAAAAACGATCTACAAGCATTGAAAACACGACAACTCGCTCAACAATAAGTCAAGATCGGTCATCATTGGCGGCAAAAGTTTCCAAAATGCAGACAAGTTTGCCCAGCCAAAGTCAAACGGACGATATCTTGGATAGAATGGACTTTGAAGAAATTTCGGACGAAGAGCTTGGCGAGGTTGAGAATAGGGTTCATATTGTCGACGCCCTGGGGGTGGATTGGGCCAGTTTGGTTTGCCAAGAAAAGCGATGTGACGAACAAACTTCGGCAAACTTATCCAAGTCGACGAGTGCTCGGAAGCGGTGGCGACCTATTAACATACTTAGTGGCAGAATTTCAAAGAAACTTGCTGGGGAAAGCTTGTATAATAGAATTCTCGAACTCAAAAAGGCTGAAGATGCGACAGATTCTGCAGAGAATGATGGCACCCAGGAGAAGGGTACCGCTAAAAAGGATACCGGTGTGCTGGAAAAAATTGGTCTGGGACCAAATTCGAGGGCATTATCATCCCGGCGAGATATGGCCGTGAGGTAATTATTGCAGAATAATGATATAATAATAGTAACAATACTACAAAATATACATGATCATGAATTTTTCCACTCTTTTAGGCGATACTTATTGGATTTGCCCCCGAAAAATCTGCTGTCACTGGATTTATTTCATAACAATACGACAACCACAACTCCGGAAATGGACTCGATCGGGGAACTGTATAAACTTAGCATAGACATGTTTAAAGCAAGTAGTGCTGTTTCTTCATCTTAGATTTTTTTCTGTTCTTGGGATAGTTTATTATTATTATGTAGCACATACAAAACGATCGTATTTACAATAATCCATAGTTCTTAAAAGCCGTGCAATGTCACACTTTTCTAATAATTTTCGAATTTCTAAAATATATCGAGTTCTAAACAAGAATTACTAAAAAAAAAAGAAGTCTGTTCATCTCCCTTCCAGCACCGCAAATCAAATCAATTCTCTTCCATTCGTTCATTCATTCATTCCTAAATATGTAAATATTTAATTTACATTTAATCATTAATAACAAAAAATATAAGGTAGTGGCAACTACATACAAGAGTATCTGAAAAATATTTAGACTTATCGTTACATCATCAAATCAGTAGAAAACTCAGTCACTCATTTAATAACTACGATAAATAATTAATCCATTTTCTAACCAGATACATTCACTCATCCAATTTCTCTTATAATATTGACTGACTACACATTCGATAAGGTTTCTCTACTCACACCGGTACACATTTACATATAATATAAATAACACATCATTTTTTATCCACAACTTAATGAAAGCTCCGTAAAGTAAAGTTGAACATTAGTTTAAACGTAATAACTCTTTAAATAATCATGGATCGTTATTCCGTACAATTTTTTTTAGAATTAATCATCTCTCTTGTCATCATTTTTTATATGTCATATACAAAAAAAATCTAATATTTAGTCTAAAACTGAAGGAAATTGTATAATTCATCATTACAAAAAAAATCTAACATTTCTCTAGTCTAAATTGTCTGAAACTATTGGTACAAATCCTGGACTGCCAGTAATCTCCCTATTTTTTTTACCGTCGTAAATACCTGGTGAATCTCGTCCTAATATTTGCTCACATTGTTGTTCGAGCCCTTTCTCCCCTTCTCTCCGGGACAATAGATTACTATGTGTTCATTATTGGTCCCATCGGTGTCGCAGTCAGCCTGCTGCATATTCGGGTAATTGGACTTTCTCTCTAAAAGCGGAATTAGGAAGAGCATCCCTCCACTTAAGCAGATCATCCCTCCAGCCAACCAAAAGCCGTACTCGTAGTCGCCAAAGATGTCGAACAGGAGACCAACCATGGGCGGCCCTACGACGGTGGCGATCCCTTGAAATAAGAGGAGTAAGCCGAACGCATTTGTGAGTTTTCCCAGGCCGAGGAGATCCACTAAGATGACGGAGGTGAGGCTGACGTAGACTCCTAAATATGTAGAAAATATGGACTGAATCAATTTTCTTCGTTACGACGAAGGGAACATTCGTAAACTACGTAACGCAAAATTGGCGATTTTTTTTACTCCTCCCTTACAACGGGTTACGCCATTTTTTTAACGTGTGGCGCAAGGTGATATGTAACGCAATAGTTTGACCCGTGGGTGCGATTTGTGTTGCGAATGTAAAACCGCTGTGGCCGGGGCGAAAAACGGGAAAAGAGGCTAAAAACCGGTCCGTTGCCGTTGGGGGACTTTTTTGGCCTTATCAATTTCCGGGATTTTCGTTTCCCCCGTTTTCCGGGACAAACACAGAAATCGAACCCACGGCTCGACCCCTACTTCCGGTGCGTTACGTATTTTATGAATGTTCCCAAATAGAGAAAGTAATAAATTTCCACTTACCAACTGTTGCCCCAAACGTTGCCGCATACAGTCGTAGCAGATTAATGTTATCCGTATGTGAACAGATTCCAGTTGCTGTAAAAAAATAAGTGTAAGGAGAAAGTGATCACTTAGAGTGAAAGTGGATCAAGTGCGATGAAGTGAAAGTAGGTAAAAAGAGCAATCTTTCAGCCTACCCAATCCGCAAATGATGAGTGCCGTATTGTACAAATATAATCTATTGACCCACGGCTTGTCACTCAAATATCCGAGCATAACACGGCTCAAGGTGTTCGAAATGCCGACGATTGCCAGTAGAAATCCGGCTGCTTGGAGGTCATTTTTAGGCGCGCTGGAATCCCCAGCCGCTTTATCCTACAAAAAAAAGAAAGATTACGTCCGGATTTTAGACACCTTTCACCGCAGAGAATTAGGCTTAAATCCAGTGGCCGCGGAAACTGTGGGGGACATCTGGGGACATTAACATTGTAGGATGTGCAGAGGGATGGGTTTATATAAGCGGGGAGATGATGGGGACATCGCACACCCGTGGGGACATTGTCCCTTTGTCGCTTCCGCGGCCACTATATCGGAAAATCACTTTAGTGGCCAGTGGCCAGTGGCCGCGGAAGCCGTGAGGACATCTGGGGGCATTACTATTGTAGGATAGGGAAGGGAGGAGTTTATATAAGGTGGGAAGATGACGGGGACATTGAATAACCTTGAGAACATTGTCCCTCTGTCCCCACCCTTCCGCGGCCACTACCGCAGAGAATTAGGTTTAAATCGACTACTCACCACCAAATAAATGTAGGGCACGTTGTATCCAATACTCGTAAAAAAGTTGGAGAACGCGAAAAATAAGAAGATTGGATTTTTCAGCAGTGACAGATCCATCATGGCTTTAAAAACCTTTTTAAATTCGGACATTTCTTCGGCATCCGTCACATCCTCCGTTTCGCCGTAAACGGCTTTTTTCTCCGTTTGCATGGGGAGATTCCCGTTTGACGGGAAAAGTTGTGCGGAGAGTTTGACGAGGCTGCCTGAGTAGAAAATATCCTTTCTTTGCAGGATTACACCGGTGTGCGGGGTCTGAGTGGGCGTCCTTAATCCGGCGTTGCTCCCAAATTCTAGGGTTTTCAGCGAGTGGCGTTTCGTGGTCAGGCGGCCCATTCGTGGCAGCGAGTCGGTGCTTTCAGCCACGATTGATTTCAGAGCGGGCTGGCTGCATGACATGGTCAAGGGCGTGTCGTTGATGACCTGTGGGCAAGAAGAAGATTAATGACTTTATAAATTAATGCATGTCAGAGGTCGACGCCACGGATGTACGCCGATAACATTTTGCGCGCCGCCGATTTTCCTGCAACGTTGGGACATCGCAAAATTAAGGATGGAACTTGTCCGTGTCAAATCGATATATGTCACACTTGTCAATTTGACCGTCCAATTGGTCACGATTTTTTTGTGACCGACATTTATGACAAATATGACGGACAAATTCACAGCAATTTATGACAATTGAATTTGTCATATTTGTCACTAATTTTAAATCCCTGAAAAATTGTATATTTCTGGCATGTCAAGTTGTCACTGACATGTCATGACCGCACATCCCTACTTACATCCCGACGCCATCGAAAAATCGCCAAAATTGCTGCGCCCTGCGCCGGACCGTGGTCGGCGTCGACCTCTGATCATTATACGTACCTAACTCAATCTGGATTTATTCACTCAGCACTTACCAGATTAAACGCCTTCGGCCTCAGAGAACCATTCATTTTCATCAAGGGTTGCACCGCCTCCCGTTCCTCTTCGTCATCCTCGTCCGGTTCCACAATGGTGGGAATGGTATCCTGACTGCTGTCCTCGTAATCGTCATCTTCCAGCGGACGGAAGAACAAGCTGAAGACGAAGCAGAGTAGAATTATGCCCCCCGTCACGACCAGTGACATTCTCCATCCGCACGCCCTGATCTAAAATTACACATTATAATGACTTTGAGCCACTAATGAAACGACAAGTCAAGGTCGTTCTGCAGTATTAAATTTGTTTTTCAGGAAGACTAAAAATTTGATAAGCCAAAAAAAGCGCAACTTACCAACCACTCGATAAATGGGGCAAGGATGAAGGTGCCCGCACCGCTTCCGCACACCTGCCAAAAATGTCAACGTCATTTTTTTAGCTGTCATTTCACTTCTTGACCTAATCAAGCCCCCAATTTTTCACGCAGATAAAAAAACGGATTTACATATCCAACTTACAGCAATTCCTGTAGCAAACGCTCTTTTCTTTTCGAAATAGATAGTCACCGACACTGAAAAATGCAGTCATCATAACGTAAAAGATGCGTTTATAAGGGGTATATTTATTATATGCAGTGGCCGCGGAACTCGTGGGGACATCAGGGGCATTAACATTTTAGGACAGGGGAAAGAGTGGTTTATATAAAATGGGCAGATGATGCCGACATCGAACAACCATCGGGACATTGCCCCTCTGTCCCCGCACCCTTCCGCGGCCACTGATTATATGTACGTACTTACCTATCGCAGGAAGATAAATTAGCCCCAGACCAAGCCCTAGTAGAAATCAGAGTTAAAATTCAGTTATTAAAAATCTGTTGACGCATCTCATGCCAAAAAATTCCCGTCTATTTCTGAATCTCACACATATCTAAAATCACATCATCTTTGTTCCCGATATAAATAAATATGCAAATCTCACCCCCAATGACGCCGATGGATAAATAAAGATGCTCCACACACTGAGCGAAATAACTGATGGCGAATCCAAACGCGGCAATGATACTTCCCGTGATGGAAACTACTCGGCAACCGTACGTGTTCACCACTGCACCGGCCAGTGGTCCTGCAGATAAGTGCGTAAAATCAGGGGTTTTAGTACATATATGGGCTTATCGGATGATAAGTAAAGTTGAGACAGACTTACCAACGCCATACGTCATTCCAGCCATGATTGACGCGATCCATGATGTCGCGCTCTTTGATTCTTTGAAATCCTCACAAATTTTGACAAAAAATAAGCCAAATGTGTACGCTACGCCGTCAGCTAGAGGACAAAATAATTTGCAAAATTATAGCGCAATCTGGGTAAGTAGGTTATTTGTAATCAGTGGCCGCGGAAGGGTGTGGACAGCCAGGGACAATGTTCCCACGGTTATTTGATGTCCGCATCATCTCCACATCTTATATAAACCCCTCCCTCTCCAATCCTACAATGTTAATGTCCCCACAGCTTCCGCGGCCACTGTTTTTGGAATATTCACCACCTTACCGACTACATGTATCAAAAAGGACGCAGCAACCACCCACCATCCCCAACCTTTTTGGGACAAGAAGAAAATACCTCAGTTACTAAATTTCCTACTTATCAAATACCGATAACACAATCTGATAAGTAATTTAATCCTGTTTCTTACCACCATCCGGCGGTTTCGGAACGTTCTTTTTTCCTCCCTCCGAAGAAGAAGATTTCTGTCCCGTTTCTAAAATCATGTTGGAACAAGAAGATGCGACGAAGATTTTTTACTGCGGCGAAGAAGGAGCGACTTCTTAAGGGACGCTCCCTGCGAAAGAGGTCTTAGCGAGAAGAAGGAGCACTTCAAAAGTAGTAGAATATCCAGTCTGACAGATTTTTGATCAGTCGAAATTTTTTGAGATACTTTTTTTTCTTATTTCTTATTTCGGTTTGTGTAGCGTAAGAAATTTCAGTTCTGTTGTTTCCTCCTAGAAGAAATGTGGGTGGGACGACGAGTTTAGTGCTGATAAATCTGCAGGATTATTAGAAGGGTCCAAATCGTATTTTTTCTATTTTTGGACCCGTGACAGTGATTATTTGTAGTAGTGAGTAATTTCTTATTATTCATTCATCCGCGCACAGGTCGATTATCAATAGTCGATAGATCCAGCAAGCAATTGTTCTTGTCTTGTTCTTAGGTAAATTTAGGAACAGCTTGCTGTCAAACCTAGAAAGGAGAAAAGAAAGACAAGGTGGAATTTTCAGTAAAGGTGGATACCATACCACTGATTTAGATGTATGAATATATGTGCAGTGGCCGCGGAAGCGTGTATTGGGACAGAGGGACAATGTCCCCACGGACGGTTATTCGATGTCCGCATCATCTCCCCATCTTATATAAACCCCTCCCTTCCCTCCCCCATCCTACCATGACATGTCCCCAAATGTCCCCACAGCTTCCGCGGCCACTATTGTAGATTAAGGTGTATGTATGGGATTCTGGATTATAAATACGTACGTTCTTCCCACATTCAGACTGACAAGACTTTAAGATATTGCATTGATTTATCTATGTTGTATGAATGAAGGCGTCTATATGGGTGCCTGTCTACTGCGTTAATAAATTCCTTTGTACATTATTGTGCAGATAAGTACAATCCAATAGTTTCTACTAATAGTTACTTGTTGGTTTGACAAAATATGTAGTGTGATTAAATTATTGGCAGACATGTGTACGTAATCTTTACATAAATGCACTTCCAGCGTGTCATTATTGTGACAAAAAAAGTATTAGATGAATGCCTATGAAATTTTGATGTCAAGTTCAGTCAACGTGACATGCAATGATTACTCGAAGCGAGCACGGAACAAAACTAGTAATAAATACAGTCAAGTTTCCATCACTATTTATTGGATGTCATGTAATTTTCATAGTTTCATGATAACCATCCATCTCAAATTGTACTGGGAATGATATGCCTCAATAAAATTCAATATTTTTATGAAAATAAATATCAAATAATTGAGAACCAAGTTGATTTTTTTATATCCAAATATTATCCAAGCAATATATTCCTGAAAAGTTTTAATACGCCCCCAAAAAAATCTGGATTTGTCAAATACACCCGATTTCTAGTCAATCAGTCGCTATAAATTAGTGTTTTTCCAACTAATCCTAAGTGTTTTTCATATTTTATCAATGTTTATGTTAATAAAAATGCATACATAATTTCTGAGAAAAAAATCGCTATAAATTAGTTTCATTCAGCTACATACCTATTCATTTGTGTATTTAATGACTTTGACTAATTGTAAGTATGAGGCGAGATTGGAAATGAATTAATTATGTATTTTGTACCTAAATATTATAATTGATATCTTCAACCTTGTCCTTAATTAGTATCAAGGTTCTCATTTTGCCCCCACTCAAGCTCATCCTTTATCAAGTATTTTCTACAACTTGCTTCGTTCCAGGTATAATTAATTAATTAATTAGCGTTTAATTAGCATTTCAGTTGGAATGGAATTGAGAACTTCATACTTTTGATAAGTAAGTTTCCGTTGCGTCATTCAAAGCATTTGAGTTTATTTGTCCCCAGTTCGGATGAAAAATATAATTTTTATTTAATAAATATCCCCACTTTTATTACAACTTTAAATCAAACAACCAATAAAATTTATTTTTACTGCCGTGTACCTAAAACTCTTAAAATATGTTTACCATTATTCCAGCCAAGCCAGCGCCATGATGTCTACTAGTAACTTATGCAAATATCATTGCAATTGCGTAACTCACATGCAAACTTTTTCTCCTCTGATTAATTGAGACGATTAAAATCTCTCATTAAAATTTTTCGGTGTCTGGGTCAGCTTATAAAATTTATTGCTTAATAAGTCGATTGCACAAAATTGAGTGAAATGTCCAAAGTAGCGTGGCTTGGTTCTCCACGAAGCACTTGAGCTCTTTGATGTACTGAATTGAACTGGTCTTGTAGTGATTGATTACGGTGACAAAAGCATGCAATTTGTGGTATACGACTACGACATCATTGTACTCCATAGATATCTGTAGCAAGCAATGAGAGCAAATCAGAGGACTGCATATTGTGCATATTATGCACATTTCGTCGTACTTATGTACATACCTAAGTCGAGACGACTACTGTCAATTGTAATGGTCGCAGACATATTGTCCATGAATCCAATGCCAGCCAATCTGAATGACCACACACTTCTACCTGATTGAACTCGGGCCGAAAAGTGATTTCACTCACTTTAATGATTGCCAATATCAATACTCTGATAATAAAGTGCATAATATATCTAATTGAAAAGTAAATAAAGGTTGAAGTAGGCAATGGAAATGTCAAGTGGAGTGGTGCAATTTAAGAGAGAAAGTTATACGTGTACATGGCTATGAATAATGACACAAAATCTGTGCTTCTACATATGTACACTTAAATTAAAAGGGGTAGACTAGACTATTTCCTGGACAAATTGACCAAAAGTAGTTTAAAGAACAAACACATTTTTATGCAATAACGGAGTAGAATTTGGCAACTTACTATATTGCAAGCTATATAAGCTATTGTGTATGTACATTTATGTAAAATTGGCAATGTCGTCATTCTTATAATGGTACAAATATGTACTTCGTTGTATGCAATGCAATCATGCAATTCCAGCTATTTAAAATTGAAGTAGCTTCAAATGACTGAACTAATCCAAAGTATACTGTACTTGACTATTCATATTGAATCATGTCCTGCTTTTGAGTACCACAACTCGTCATTATACTAAAACAAAAAATGCTCTTGATTATCGATAACTGTAATAAATTATTGAATCATGAGCGAATTGCATGTTCCAGTTTACTTACATATGGAGTTTATTATGCACTATTATTCTGATGCAATAATTCTAAACTGGTTGCACCCGACCACTTTTAGCTATTTACGTACATATGTAACCCTTTTTTTACTTTCGTACAATCGGCCATTTCAGTTTTATATCAACAAACAAGCCTTCTATTATCCCCCTCGGCTTAAGAGAATTTTAAGAGTGAACAGTGGCCGCGGGGACATGTGGGGACTTTGTAGGATGGGGGAGGGATGGGTTGATATAAGATAGGCTGACGATGCGGACATCGAACAACCGGGTCCCTCTGTCCACGCGCTTCCGCAGCCAATGGAATTGAACGCAAAAAACTAATCGCAAATATTTCTTTAATTATGATAATAAGGTACGGATGATAGATAAGTAAAGCCAAAAAATAACAACACTTCTGTCAAGAATACGCGATAAGATTCATACTCAACAATTTTGAGTCAAATTTGACTGCACATAAAGAAATCACTTTCCATTCTTTTATACATGCGTTAAATATTTACTGATCGAGTTTCCAGGATCATTAACTTTACATAAATAGAGTTGTCCACTTATTTACATATTTATAGGCAGATAATAGCAATGGGTTCATTTCATTCAATCTTGTCCTCAAATAAATAAGTGGTTATCTAATCGCCAAAAAAATATATGCTTTTCTTCCCTTCGTTCCTGCCTCTGATTTGTTAATGCGCATTTCAGCTTCGTTCGATACATACAGAATTGTTTACTGTCTATCGGAAACTTATTTTTATAGCATGTTAAATCTTCAATCACGCCACATTTTCCGTCACTCTTCATCCAATTTTGTTGGCTGGAAATGCTCAGAATTCTAAAAATAATCCGACATGTTTTTGCCACAGCCGGAGCGAAAAGGTGATGCGAATTTATTTAGCGAGGAAAAAGAAGAATAATGATGATGCGACAGTTTCGGAAATGTGCAAGGTTTAAACCATGATTATGCAATAGCAATACGACAAGTTTGTTACAGCTTCATTCTGCATCTGGATCTCTTTTTCTCTCTCTACGCGTCGCGTGGGTAGGTCAAGGTTGTCTCATATCGAAACTAAAAGTTTCCCAAACAAGATTCGCTCGCAATTTCGCAAATAAACTGCACCTGTGATCAGGCAGCAACTGCATTCTACAAGTGACATGCAAACAGTGGCCGCGGAAGCTGTGGGGACATCAAAATTCTAACATAGGGGAGGATTCGTTCGTAATTTCCTCAGTAAAATGCACCTGTGTTCAGGCATGCATATGGACAACTGCATTATACGAGTGACATGCAAACAGTGGCCGCGGAACCTGTGGGGACATTGCCATTGCAGAATAGGAGAGGGAGTCGTTTATATAAGACGGGAGATGATGGGGACATCGAACAACCCTGGGGACATTATTCCTCTGTCTCCCCACCTTTCCGCGGCCACTGCACGTTCAGAGGTTTACATGCCGGCAATCGTATTACAGAATAAAAAAGTAGGATTAGGATTCTCTCATACGAAATAAACCTAATTGAGTTTTAGTCAGGGTAAGACGACGATGTCAATTCCGATGAGAATAGGACAACATAATCCGACAAATGTAAGGTTACCGTCGCTTCATTTTATGGTTTGCTTACAATCCTTCTTTCTTATTTATCTGTGTCCTACTGCCACACAGAGAAAGAAAATTGAGATTAAGTAAGTAAGGTAGACCAAGGTTGGCAGTGGATTGGCATAGACATTCAAAGCGATCCTAACTAGATTTCCCTAGACTGAGGAGATGTCAATCCTGGTGGAATTGGGATTGAATTCTTTGCAAAAATTAGATTGGCTCCAATTTCATACATATAAACGGATCTAACCAAATAATGCGAAAAAAGTCCAGATGTTTCATCTGTCTAAGGACAAATATAAGACACAAAGTAGTCATCTTTCTGATAAGCGCAAATATGAGACACAAAGTGACTGATAACTGCAAAATAGTCATAATAAATCTACTCAAAAACAGGATGTCATAAAAAAAACTGTTAAAATTAAGTCTCAAATTCCACCTACTAAAAATATGTATGTATTTACATATCACTCGAAAACGAGGTTTAAGAAAACATGCAATTTGTACTGACTGACGTAAACGGAAACATGAGCAAAATCACTTTAAAAAGATATGTAATACGGAGAAACATGACCAAAAATCCCCAAACTTTTGACCCTTTAGTATTATTCACAAGTACACAAAATAGAATTGAAACGAAGTGACGAACGGAACTTGAGGACAACGCAAAGTTTACATGTTTATCGCCTTAATACGATTTTCCCGTTCATTGAGCAGGAAAATAGAGCTTGTATAATAAATTTGGACAACGTCTTTATCCAATTGTCCTTATTTAATCCAATATCAAACTTATCAAAACGTGTCAAGAGCTCAATTAACTTGCCAACGAAAACTCACCAGTCATACATAAACATTTGCATATTAATGGACCTGGCAAATTGCAAGTGGACACAATTCCAACTTGCACCACGAAATTCTCTTCTACAACATTTTGCAAGCTGGAAACCAAACCAGCATCGCTAAAAGCACGTACGAAACGAACTCTCGTCTAGTGTTTCAATATCGATTTATCCGACACACATCCGAGAACGGTTTTGTTTCCATCCAACCAAACCAACCTCCTTTCCCGTGCCATGTGCTGACTGGTAGCAAAAATCTAGACCACACCAACCTATCCTCAGACTCTTTAATCTGTCCACATTTGCAGTGTCAAGATTATTTATGGCACAGAGAAAATTGGCTGGTCCAAATTACAAGACTTATCATCACACGTAATGTTTCCAACCTTAATCCATCCATTTTTTCCCTGTCGTGTCAACTGCAGATATTATTATTTTGTGAGGACGCTACTACGACGCAGATGATGCTTTTACTTTAGTTGACTTGACACGCCATGAATATTTAGATTGACAGAGATTTCTGTAATATTTTTAGAAAAATATGTTGCCAAACTAAAGAAAGTGATGTGTATATGTATGAATTGTTTAATAATAAATAAACTGTACAATGCCACCTTGAATAACTTTGGTAGTTTTGCGTGTCAATTGACGTCAATCATGTTACTCGATGAGTTCGAAGCTTGGAGAAACAAAGCTTGCTTGATTTTTACTATTTTGACAAATGGTGTTACGAGATAATATATGACGACTGTACGTACAAATGTATGCAAGGAAAGATGTGAAACACGGATAAAAATAGATTTTAACCGTTTAAATAAACTTGGACAGTTGCGGGGGGCGTTACAGTAGTTGCATTCGACCTTCAGATCAAAATCTTGCAAGTTTAAGAGATATATTTTTTGAACCAAATTGCTACTTTGCAATGAAATCAGTGGCCGCGGAAGGGTGTCGACAGAGGGACAATTCCTCACGGTTATAATGTTAATGTCCCCACAACTTCCGCGGCCACTGAATGCAATTGTTCCTCATAAAGTCTTGTACATAAACATGCAAAAGAAACAGTAGAAATATTATGCTTACCTTTTTTGTCTTAGAAGAAATGTTCCCCCGTAGCGTTATACAGATAAGTACTTGTTATCTTATTTTCTTGGATATCTGAAGGCTTATCTTAACCTATACCATGTACGTATCTCGAACAACTGATATATCTCTGAAAAAAAATCTACGCCTAACTTCTCTCCTGAAACTTATCCAAGTTCACTGGACTTGACAACGACGACGACTTGTTTCGTGGCGTCGATGTCAACCTTGAAGATGTTCCTTCCTCCGTACCGATAACCCTATGATAACTAAAAAATGTAGCAATACCAAGCAGACCCTTCGTGTCAAAGATCTGACTTGTTATTATAGTATTCGTTAATAGCCTTCCACTACCGGAGTCCAGTAGGGAAGACATGAAAGTATGAGGTTGAATTTGCGAATAAATCTTGGCGACAAGAAGTGCTCAAGTTTTAAATCTAGTCAAAATTCTGTCTGTGTGACTAATGAGAGGATTTGCGAAAAAAAGTATAATGTGCAAATATTAGCTAACTGCTCCGTTAAGTTTAAAGTGGTTGGTTAGTAGTACCACCACATGTGGGAGAGCTTAACGTTAAAAGAGTACGACTTTCCATCCTGCCTTGCTTGCTCTAGACCGTAGTCCAAAAGCGAATGACTTGTTCTCTTTCGTGGGATGGTAACTTATGTATTCGCAAAAGAGTAGGAGAGAGAGAGAAGAGGACAACCCACTTTTTGCAGTTGGCAAAATCTCCCGATTATTCGGGGACTCCCGAATTTTATCTTGGTTGCGTTCTACGATTTTGTAAAGAACGTTGGCATCAGGCAGGGATGATGATGATGGGATGCATAACATTGGCGAATTTGTGTGCGAAAATATGTGCTAATGATGGAACAGAGTTCGTATTGCAGGATGTTTTCGAACTCTATATCAGTCTGTAAATTCTTCCATCATCATTCTGTTGTCTGCAACATCGTAAATCAAATTGGTCCCGTAAACAGCTTTATTGCAATTTTTTTATTGCAAATTTGCAAATTTTTAATGTAAATTAAATCAAACCGATCCCGTAAACAAGTTGGCAGTTTTATTGCAAATTGGAAAAAATCGATACGTGTTGCAAGCGGTTCATTTATTTTGCATCATAATTTTCACCATTGCTCAACTTGATATGGATCGTGGAATGGATATTTAGGAGAAAACAGTGCAAATTCTATAGCGCATTCGCGAAACGGGACAAATTTTAGAGCAAATACCAAACAAAACACCCACAAAGTTTTGCTTTACACTCTGGACTCGGACTAAATTGAAAAACTAGCCAAAATATTTAGACGGGTTTATGAAGTATGAAAAAGTTCAGGTCGCTACGATCAATAAATGTTTGTTATGTTTCCATCAAACATTTTATCAAAATCCTATTTTTTCAAAGAGACATTTTGAAACGGAATAATGTTTTGATTTCATTTATTTCTACCAAGAATTGATTGAATCAGAGAGAGTTGACTGACATTTTTGGAAAACTGTCAACTAAAATGATGCACTTTAAGTGAAAATTTAACCCTGAGATTCTACAATAACATGAAAAACTAACAATATAGAGAGGACTTTCTTGATTCTTGGTTTTGTGCAGGCTTTCACCTTCACGACGGAGCTGCTTCCACCGATTTTGCTCACCCGAGAAGAAGTGAAAGTGGCAGGTCTTCCCCGATCTGCCCATCCCAAGGGGCAGGATGGGATTACGGATCGACTGCTTGTTGGCGAATGCTGTTTTCTTTCGCGAATCTCATTTTGCATCAGTCCTGTACCATAAACATATTTATGTACAGTGGCCGCGGAAGGGTACGGGGTCAGAGGGACAATGTCCCCACGGTTATTCGATGTCTCCATTTTGTATACACCTCTCCCTTCCCTATTCTGCAATGGAAATGTCCCTAGATGTCCCCACGGCTTCCGCGGCCACTGAAGAGAGGTTCCATTTGTTAAGAGATACAGTGGCCGCGGAAGGGTGAGGACAGAGGGACAATGTCCCCACGGTAATTCGATGTCCCCATCATCTGGCCATGTTATATAAACCCCTGCCTCCCCTATCCTACAATACAGTATCTGTATTAATGTCCCCACATGTCCCCACAGCTTCCGCGGCCACTGTTTACGTGGTATACATCCATTCCCTGTGCAGTTTTTCTCTGTTGTATGTTCGTGTTTGGTCGCCCGACATTGGATGTGCTTATTCTAGTCCAAATCTCTACTCCAGATTTTTTTATCGTTCTTCATGTTTGCGCAGGTAGTATTACCACGTAGTCCGAAAGTGTTTTGTGAAGTAAGAAATGAGACCATGCACGAACTTATTCAGTGTTTTTCGTGGAAAGAACCGAGAAATGATGATTGAGCAATAAGGACCCAGAATATTGTGTGGGTTGTACGATCATTTTCAATAGCATAACAACATCCGCTTACTTACTGTGTGGGCTGATGTTTTTCTTTCATCTTGAGTACGGATTATGGCTATTGCTTTCTTTTTAATTTGGCAATTCTACACCGATTGGTAATGACGCTATTACCGTATCTGACGTTTATACATAGATAAATATGTGATAAAAATACGTATCCACAAATAAATAAATAACTACGTCTCAAATTTCGAATTTCTTTAATATAGACAAATCAATTTCCAGAGACACGTTGAATTGCATCTCATTAAGGATTATTTATTTTAAATAGTTGTGCATGCAACTACTTGAAATTATCCTTGCTTTAGTTTTGGTCACGCTCTGCCGGGTAATTTGGCAACTGAAATAAAAACTTTGATTGCCAGACAGACTGAGAACACGGTAAAAAAAAGGACATGGAAAAGGTGGCCAAAAAGTCTTCGGACTTGAAATTCCAGTGGCCGCGGAAGCCGTGGGGGACATGGGGGGACTAACATTGTAGGATAAGGGAGGGAAGGGTTTATATAAGATGGGGACATCGAACAACCGTGGGGACATTGTGTAATCAGTGGCCGCGGATGCCGTGGGGACATTGCCATTGTAGGATGGGGGAGGGAGAGGTTTATATAAAATGGGCAGATGATCCAGACATCGAATAACCGTGGGGACATTCTCCTTTGTCCACATCCTTCCGCGGCCACTGTCCTGAAGCTGAACAGATTTCACTACCCAGGATTAAGACCAGAACGCTACAAGGTCAACCTTTGACATGAATCTGTGGGGTAATCAACTGCACGACGGGAAGAGCGTTTTACCATTATCTTCTCGGTTTTTTGAGCCGACTGAGACTGAGACAACATGGAAAAGCCGTAAAGTCATTTAATGTTCACTTTTATCTGCCTCTCCTGAACCATTACTCACATTACGGGCTTGACATAAACGACATCATTATTGCACTGGGATCAAGTTCTGACTCCTGGCTGGCAGAATGAATTTGTCGTCCAAGCTTTATTGGCATTCTTGTACACAAATCAAGTAAAGGTTTAGAAGAACTTGGAAGTTCATGAAATGTGATGCAAGGCAATTCATACGTACATACACTTGGCTAAATTATACCCTGAGGAAGATGAGAAAAATATTCGGTACTGCATTTTGGACTGACAATGGGAAAGCAAACCATTTTCAGGCCAGATTATTTTGCGACCATGTTATTTTGAATGACCAACTCTTTAGAAACAAAATTTAGTAAGGAATTTGCAAAGATGTGCAAAATTTAACATGTTATCGGCGCCCCAAGTTCGCGAAACGTCGGAGATGCTGCCGCAAAGCACAGATTCCGAGATTTTTGCGAACTTGCGGCGCCCACAACTTGTTAAATTTTGCACATCTGTGCAAGTTCTTGACTAAATGTTGTTTCTAAAGAGTTGGCCTTTCAAGCCAAAATGGTCGCAAAATAATAGTTTTAGTAAATGTTAGTTGATCTTTCAAACTAACATCAATGGTCCAAAAATAATCTGGGTTGAACACGGTTTGCGTCCCATCGTAAGAACTAAGGACGACATGCATACATAATTGATCGATATTTTATGAGAGAGCAAGATCAAAGGCTAGGAAAACCGTATGGTTTCCTTCACTTCGTGAAATAATAATTCGAATTGTACTTTCAAGGTTACTCTTAACCCAATCTAATGTAATGTACCATCAAATTTAGTGTCAAACCAAGTGAACAAGCCACTAATTGAGTTCACCCGAATTTCATTCCGTCAAAGCAATTAAGTCAATTTGCAAATGGCCACTGTCGGTAATTGTCCCTTGGTGAAAGCAATTTGACTCCGCTGCTAGTTTCGTCATGAGACATGTGTCAGTCTAACTGGACATTTGCACGGATACTTTTTTTAGAGACAATTGCCACGACTTTTCATTTATTTACCAGATGAAATAAACCGTCGATGAGTTCTCTGAAGCAGCTTGGATAGATAACCAGTGGCCGCGGAAGCCGTGGGGACATTAACATTGTAGGATAGGGGAGAGAGGGGTTTGCATAAGATGGACAGATGATGCGAACATCGAACAACCGTGGGGACATTGTCCCTCTGGTGTCCACGCCCTTCCGCGGCCACTGCAGATAATCGAGTCTCATGCGTCTGAGGGAATGTTCTTGGCATCCTTTTTACAAAAGTCGTGATTGTGGTTGAATCCTCGGCCTACACAAATTCATAAAAGTGCTGCTGGCCTTAATTTCATAAATGTTCAGAGAAAAACATATTTTAATTGAAATGCTCGAATCAAAGTTCAGACTTCGTTTAGCCCGAGTCAGGAATATTTAGCTTCAATCAAAGAAAGTTCTCCCGTCTACCGACGGAAGATGGCTTCATAAGCCTACAGCTTGGGCTCCAAATTATAAAGTAAGTAGGTTATATAAGCGTCTGGTTGTGGCGTGTCATCGTGCAAGCAAATTCAATGCCTAGCCTTTATATTAGCGAAGAAATCGATTATTTATTCGGTTTGTTTGTTAAAAGTCAGACAATGCCACCACGACCACGGCAGTCACTTGTGCTCTTTGATATCCTGTTTTCTGCTGCCAGAATTCCCCACATCCTTCCGACAAGGCTTGTTCGTTTTGTACAAGAAAATACGCCTTGGGCTAGGCGCATGTATGTATTTACTCCGAAATTGTACATTGGAATAGTCATATTTAATTTAATTTCTATGCAATGCATGGTTTTGAGATAAACAACTAAACTTGTTATTCAAGACGCATTGCTATCTAGTTATGTTTATTTTATAGACTTACTTAGTACGTCAATGACGTAAGGTCATTGCAGTAAAGGCGAGGATATGTAGGCTACTTTCTACTTGGAGAAAGCAAAGGAGAAAGCTGAGCATTTTTTCCACCCATCACCACTCGTATGTAAATTTGCATGTGCATAAGCTGTGAAAATTGTTACACATGTGCATCATCGTTTTCCACGATTGCATACTCTTTTCATGGTACATGTACAGTGGCCGCGGAAGGTGTGGGGACATTAGCATTGTACTTAAGATAGGGGAGGGAGGGGTTCATAAAACATGGGCAAATGATGGAGACATCAAACAACCGTGGGGACATTGACCCTCTGTCCACACCCTTCCGCGGCCACTATGTATCTATGTTTTCCTACGTTATGTTGGCCTCGATCAGAATTATGATGAGATTTATGTACAACAACTTTTATATTTTGATCATTTATTTAAATCAGCATTTGACGACGTGTTACTTGAGACTTTGTTGTTGCATTGCATTTTTTAGTAAAATTTGTAACATTCATTATTAACATGTGTGTATGTACATCGTATGAAAAGAGTTGTTTAATATTGTACAGAAAAATTGACAAGTACAATGTATCAGTAATTTCGCCTTGAAATTTCTTGCAGGCAAATGTTTATTCTAAACAAAGTGTAATTTACATGTGTTAAACACGTACCCGAAATTTGATCGAACAAAGTATCTTGGTAAAAGTAAGTGTATAGTGAAATCGAACTGTTTTGTAATAGTGTCTGAGAGTCGAGTCGATTCGCAATTTTCTAGGAATTTAACATGAGTCTACATTGTGATGTGGGCAACGACCATGTAACGGATGAAAAACAATAATATTTTGCACACTGATAAAAATTGTTATTGCATACACGAGTAGACACACCAATTTAGCAACAGGACAAAATTATTGCATTGTTTTAACATATGTACAAGATCAGTATGATAATATTTGATGAGTCATGATGTTATTGTGTCGATGAAGATAAGACTTGCAATTTGATATCGTGCGACACTGAGCAAAAAAGGTTTCACAGATTGTAAGAAACATATTTAGTGAGATGTTTAAAGTCAGATTTATTTATCCATGCACGTTGTGTATGCATGACAAAAATTTGTCGGTAACCTAATTTCACGCGATTATATTTAATGTTACATACACACATATTTGTCTCAATGTTGCGTGCTTATGGAGTAAATAATTTCTTACACTTGTGCTCAATTTTTCTTGGGACACAAGCAGTGGCCGCGGAGGCTGTGAGGACATCTGGGGACATTAACATTGTAGGATGGGGGAGGGAGGGGTTTATATAAGATGGGGAGATGATGGGGACATCGAACAACCGTGGGGGCATTGCCCCTCTGTCGGAACCTTTCCGACGCCACTGTACACAAGTGAAAGCGGTTGAATGTGCTATTTACACATATGCAGTAATCACTTCTACTCAACTCAATTGGTGAAACTTATCGACGTATTCCAACCAGTGGCCGCGGAACAGAGGGGCAATGTCCCCACAGTTGTTCGATGTCCCCATCATCTGTCCATCTTATATAAACCCCTCCCTCCCTTAATCATATAATGTTAAAGTCCCCAGGGCTTCCGCGGCCACTGAATTTCCAATCATGTGTACACGCACGCATACCTTTCCGAACCGAGAAGTATTACTTTCTTTCGTATGTTGTGTGAAGTGAAATATGCCCGAATTTTATTTCACCGAAGCCGAGAAAGTTCGGTAATTTTTTTAGGTTACGTACATCGCACTAGTTGTCATCGCTCGTACATACGACAGGTTGCCTTACTTTCACTTGGAGAAAGCATAAAACCACATGTGGGTGGTCTCTTATCTTAACAAAATTTTAACCGCAGTTGTATAATTTTAAATATTATGGGGATGGACGATCCTGGTCGTTACATTACTCGTCCCACTGTGATAATATTATTCTTAATTTGCGTCTTAATTTACTTGTTTGTTATTCCGGCTGGAAATAACTCTCTTGGAAGTGAGGTACATACATAAAAAATCTCTAAATTCTTAGAAAACACCCCACAATGCCTATTAAATTGTTTACGTTCTTAAATAATCACTTATTTACTGCGTGGAATTTTTTCACTAACGTCACCCACCCACCCACATGAATTTGCAGTGTTGAATTTGCACGTATTCATTTTTGCCTTCATATATGTAAATATATGCGAAAAATAGTACACAAGAATATTACACTCTATCCGGTGAAGCAATTTACCAATGTAATGTAAGACATCTTTCAAGACTTTCTCTCCAAATTGAGCCATTTTTACTTGTTAGGAAAATGAAATCGAAGACATATCATCCAGCTTGAGTTTCTCATTCTCCATTTGCATAGCCAGGTTGGATAGGAAATCAATAACCTAACAAATAAACTTGATTCGTTTGTGACAAGGGAAAGTTTTCCCAACGACTTTCTCCCATTGGTTTGAACCATGCTAGTTTTCGCATAATTTGTCGTCGTAATAGATCCAATAATATATAAATCTAATATAATATCAGATGTATGTATGTATCGTACTTATATTTGATGATGGTCACATTAGGAGATGACTTTCTCCGTGGTTTAACTTTCTCCAAGCCATATTTTTAGTACCACGAAAAACACGCAAGGCTTACAACTTTCTGTCCATTTATTTCGAGCTATCGATACCGAAATAAATTATCATTTGAAGATGCGTTTCTCCGTGATTTAACTTTCTCCATGCATATTTTTATCACTACGAAAAACCACGCGAAGCATGCCCTTACATATGAAACGTTACTTATTTGTATCCATTTACTTATTTTGAACTATCGATACCAACCAAAATACCTAAATTATTTACGTATTGTGAAGAAATATACCTCTTTTTTCTCTAGCCCTCCGATGCTTCATCCCCCAAACGGACGAAACAACAGCAGGAGAAAGTCACGAAGAAAGAAGTCACGAACAACGACCATGCCCACGAATTGACTCATGGCTCGAAACGCTACAAGTTGTATGAGAAGAAGCGCTTCAACTTTAAGAAGGCTGAAGCATTCTGCAAAAAAATGGAGGGACGGTTGGCAAAAAGTAATTTATTTTTATTTTTTATATAATACATCTTTATTCTCATTTATATGCAAATAAGTCCGTTCGGTGCAAGGTAAATTGCTTGCTTGGTTATATTTTGCATAAAAAAGCTGAGAGGCTGGATGAGATGACCAGACTGCAAACTCTTCTTCAAAAGGCGAAGCTGGTAAGTGACGAGTTGTGGATCGGAGTTGAGAGAAAGCAGTGGAAAAATCATGCCTGGAAAGATAAGCCGCATCCTCCAGGAATGAATCCGGCAGCTTTGGGGGAGATGAATGCGATGATGATGTAAGTTTTTTTGGTACAAATTTTCATAATCTGTGAGATGAGAATTTTTTGCAGAATTTTTCATAATCTGTGAGATTAGAATTTTTGTCACTTTCTCCGTTGTTATTTTGCAGGGGTGGTGGGAAGCAAGAAATGTGTCCTGCTCTGAGCTTATCAACCAGGTATATAAGTGAATGATTAGATCATAAAGTGACAAATGCAGTGGCCGCGGAAGGTGTGGGGACATGTGGGGTCATTAACACTGTTGGATAGGGGAGGGAGGGGTTTGTATAACATGGGGAGATGGTGGGGACATCGAATAGCCGGGGGAACATTGTCCCTCTGTCCCCACGCTTCCGCGGCCACTGGACAAATGCCTAATTTATTGTGTTATCCACCAGGGCAATGGTGCCTGCCATGTGCATGCGAGATCTCCCCTTTGTCTGTGAATTTGACCGAGTTGACAAATCAAAAGATGAACCAAAGATAGAAAATGTAATTAAAAAAGAACAAGGGAAAAGCAACAGGAATAAGAACAATGGTGTTAAAAGTAGTAAAGGAAAAGGGAAACCTATGCCTCCTCCACTCAAAACGAAAAATAGCAAGATAAAATCAACACCTAAACCGAAACAGCAAAAGAAAGTTAATAAAAATAGGAAGAGAGACGAAATGTAGGATTATTCTCGACTTTCTCTAAATAACCATCGCATGATTTTTTTTTCATATCGCGTAATCAGAATATCTTTATTTGTAATATTTACATATATGAATGTTCGTCCACAAACAAATAAGTATTTGTTAATTCCTAAATTAATTATGTTTAACACGCTGGTAACTTATGTAGATGATAACTGTGTATAAACTTTGTGATAGAAAGTTGTCGGTAAAACAAAGATTGTGATATGCAATTTGATGAAATTGACACGCGTAAAATTATACAGTCAAATATAGATTTTAAAAATCCTTAATTACCAAATAAATTACAGTTTAAAGTTTTGGCACTGCCTTTTTAACAATTTGGAGGAGCTCATACCCTGTAAATTCGTTATTTTCGATAGCTTCAACCACATCGGCAGAAGTAAACCGTACTTTTTTTCTTGAAAATGGTTTCGGAGATTCCTTTTTCAAATGGGCTTTCGACATTTTGATAATTCTTGGTCTTTTATCGTCGGGTGAACCATCGGGGGTTCCATTATCTGGGAAAATTCCGTTTGTGTCGATTTCAATCCCAATTTCGCCAATTTCGCCACCGCCAGCACTACTGCTCGCTGAAGTTTCGAGGGTTCGCTTAATTGGTGAAGCCAATGAAGTGGCAACAACGTCTCCAGCAATCATGAAAAATTGGTCTCCTTTATACTCTTGAATTTTCTTGAGATGACGGGCAGTTCTGGCGTGACAGGAAAGATCATGCTGGAAAAAGAGATTCAATTTTACTTATAGCGATGAGAGCGTCCTATAAACAGTGGCCGCGGAAGCTGTGGGGACATCTGGCTGGGGACCTTAACATTGTAGGATAGGGGAGCGAGGGGTTTAAGATGGGGAGGTGATGCGATCGAATAATCGTGGGGATATTGTCCCTCTGCGCCCCACCCTTCCGCAGCCACTGCCTATAAAATTACAGATTTTGCTGGACACCGTTTTTACCTTGTGTGCTCGAAGGATAGCTTTACACGCTTTACAAAATGCGCGTTGTACATCGTCTGGATATGCTTGGAGCCAGTCTGCATGAGAAATATAATTGCAAAATGTGACATGTTTTATAAGCATATTTAATTAATTATTATTTAGAATGTACCCTTGAACTCTTCCTCTTCTTCCCAAGCCGTCCTATATTTTTTGATATAATTCTTTCCACTGGTGGACGTCCTTTTCTGTCGGGTTCGAATGGTGTCAAATAATTCTGGTTTATATTCTATCTCTCCTCCACCTCCTGCGTCTTCCTCGGGTTGTGTAAAGTCCTCGTTTTCCTCTTCATTGCAGACAATTTGAACGCTAATGGGCCCCGTCGAAATGCCAGATTCTTGTGCAATTTTCGCATTCGCAATGTGCGCTTGTGTCCGACCATGGGCAGATAGGTCTCCTACATTCGCAAAAATATTAGCATAACATAACCCTCATACGTAGATTAGGGGTTTGTAAACTTCATAACGCAAAGGGGGGTGGGTGGGTGGTCAGGACCCAATGATATCGTGCCTATGTGACACATGTTAAAGGGGGGTGGGTGGGTGTCCAAAAAAAACGAAAATTTGCGTTATGACGTTTACGAACGACCCCTTATACAGCGACCACGGAAGCGTGGGACAGAGGGACAATGTCCCCACGGTTATTCGATGTCCCCATCATCTCCCCATCTTATATAAACCCCTCCCTCCCCCATCCCACAATATTAATGTCCCCACGGCTTCCGCGGCCACTGAATTATACGCATGATCCTCACCTTTCCGAGCTTGTAACACGATTGCACAAAATCTGCAGTAACTTCTTCTCTCATCATTACTAACTTTCACCAACCATCCTGCATTAAAGCAATAAGATAAGCATCACAAATTTATACAAATTCCTCAATTAATTAGTTGACTATGAATGACACCTAACTCACCCTGGAACTGTTCTTCCTGAATCCAATCATCATTAAAAATATCAGTCGCCATTATTTCTGATAATCCAAATTTCGATACTCTAAAATACATCATAATTTCATTAAAATTCCATCATTCCACACATTTTGTCATGCTCAATCATCCCGAAAAATAAAATATATTCATTTCTGAACAAAGGGAAAGTGGTTTCCACTTTGTGCCGAGAAAATAAGGCTACCTCTGCTCTGCTAGTCCTTCTTCTTGCCTGATAGCACAAGTGCAAAAACTGGCGACATCGGCTGGTATAAGAAAGCAGACCCAAAACCAACAATGCGACACCAATTATTTTAACCTTATTATTAATTGACGATTAACTAACTTCTTCGAATATTTTATGAGACCAATTTATTTATCTATGTCGGAAGTAGTGTTTACAAGGATTGGATAACAAATCAGATGTACATCACGTAAAAGGGTGAGACTTGAGAAAATGCATTGCATTGCAGTGTTCCTGCGCCGCACATCCGATTCCACCAAATCCAAATACAAATCCAGCCAGCCAGCAGCACAATCTTTTATTTTAGTGAAGCAGCATCATCGTTTCGTCGGTCTTTTCTCCGTTTTACAGAGATTTCGGTCGGTGCTTTCTTTCTTCAAAACTTTGTCGGGAGCAGCGGAGAAAGTTTGAAGTTTTCTCCCATTTCTGTTGAGTGGCTGGCTGGCCTCACCAACTTCGGCCCATCATCAATTAGACAAATAAACGGGTGAGTTAATAATTTTCCGGTTCGCGAATTTGTAGGATGAATATGTGAGCTTTTTGCAAATTTTAGTTTGAGTTGAGAGCAATTTGCCACGATTGCTTGACTTTTAGTGCCTAGTTACCCTTAACGGTTGCGACAAATGGTCGAGTTACAAATAAAATAATTATTTTTAAAAATAGTTGTTTCTTCTCGATGGTCGAAAAAAACAACTCTTTGACCTTTAATAACTTTTGAACGGGCAGACATAGAGACTTAATTCTTAAAGATGAAATCATCGTAATTTTTAGCTTGATTTTTTTAAGCTAAAAATCTCGAGGGTACTATTTCGAAGATTGAACTTGAAATCTCCAGTGTGCAGCCTTTACGAGCCCGAGTCAAGCTCGCTGTTATCGGTCAAACCGACCATTTTTGTAACTCGACCATTTGTCGCAACCGTTAAGGGAGACGCGTTACCTAGATACTTAAAGTCAAGCAATCGTGGCAATTTGCCCTTTGAAAGCGCTTTGTTTCCGCAGCACCATAAATTTATAGTTTGCAAGTCAAGAAATTCCCATCTCTACTTTTTAATTTACAAGTATTTAACTTTTTAATTGAACACAGCAGATAATTACACTGTTTCTTTGTGTAATTTACACAAAGAAAACTGATCTTTATATCGTTTTATATTCAACTAGCTAATAAGCCCGTCTTCGCCGGGCAATAAATTTCACACTTTGAATGTCTGTCCGCAACGGAAGTAAATTAAATTTGCGTAATTACCATACCACATCTAGAAAGAATCATGATGATGATTGGTTGTGGTAACCGAGAAGTTTTAAAATTGACGCATGTTCAAAGGAGGTTTAATACAATCCCGTTTAATTTACCAGCCCAGTAAACGCACCAGACAAATAATTAAGTTACCGCACCATCCCAGTAGCCCATCAAACGCAACAGCCTAGTAAACCCATCAGCCCAGTAAAACCAAAAGCCCAGTAAACCCATCAGCCCAGTATACCCATCAGCCAAGTAAACCCATCTGCCCAGTAAACCCATCAGCCAAGTAAACCCATCAGCCTAGTAAAACCATCAGCCCAGTAAACCCATCAGCCAAGTATACCCATCAGCCAAGTAAACCCATCAGCCAAGTAAACCCATCAGCCCAGTAAACCCATCAGCCTAGTAAACCCATCAGCCTAGTATACCCATCAGCCCAGTAAACCCATCAGCCAAGTAAACCCATCAGCCTAGTAAAACCATCAGCCAAGTAAACCCATCAGCCCAGTAAACCCATCAGCCAAGTAAACCCATCAGCCTAGTAAAACCATCAGCCCAGTATACCCATCAGCCAAGTAAACCCATCAGCCCAGTAAACCCATCAGCCAAGTAAACCCGTCAGCCCAGTAAACCCATCAGCCTAGTAAACCCATCAGCCCAGTAAAACCATCAGCCCAGTAAAACAAACAGCCCAGTAAATACATCAGGCCAAGAAACGCATCAGCCCAATAACCAAGTTAACGCACCAGCCATGAACTATCTTTCCATGGATTGGAGGGAAGAGCGTTAGCATATCTGTAGTGATAACTGGTTGTATTGCAAGACGTCTTGCTATTGCGTTAAAAGTCGAGTTGCAAGTCGATTCTTGCCATACAACTTTTCAAGCCATGTTTAAGTTGAATTGCCATTCATAGCTGCAAATTGCATTATTTCGAAGGGCACGCAGATAACCATCTTCATGGTGGACATGGCTTCGATACTGATCTGGGTGAGTCCAGATATTGGGCCGGCCTGGTTGTGGGCCCGGAAAATGTGGTAGATGTTAGGGGAACTGTCATTTTTTTACTGGGCCGAGATCTGGGCTGTTCTAGTATCTGGGCCTGCCCAGATCTCGGCCCAGTTCAATCATAAATTCATAGTTTTACCTACTACACCTTCCATGATATCTGGGCCGAGGTATCCGCCCAGTTCAATCATAAATTCATAGTTTTACCTACTACACCCACCAAGGTATCTGGGCCGCTCTAGTATCTGGGCCTGCCCAGAACTCGGTCAAGTTCAATCATAAATTCATAGTTTTACCTACTACACCCTCCAAGATATCTGGGCCGTGATCTGGGCCGGCCCAGTTAATAGGCTGGCCTAGTTCTCGGCCCAGAAAACTTGGTGAATGTTGCAGGGCGAACAATCTATATATTGTTTTATTGGGTGGAGATCTGGGCTGGGGCAGTGATAGGAAGATAAGTTCGCCCCAGACAACCACCCACATACCCCAAATCGACCTACAGACGTCCACCCTCAGACAGCTGCCGTCTGATAATCACCTTCAGATAACCACCTACAGATAATTTTCCCCCATGATAACAATCCTCAGACAACCACCCACATCCAACTACCCCCACATAATGACCTACAGACGTCAACCCTCAGACAACTACGGTCAGATAATCACCCTTTAAAACAATATGACACCCCCTCCTCCAACTTTTGAAACCTGATTTTAATTTAATTTATTTTGAATTTTCGCGCCATTCAAAACTTAACTTACCCTGCTTTCACTTCCGTTGTCACGGACAAACTTCGGTCACGGACAAACTTCAGTCACGGACAGATTTACTTCCGCTTCCGTTACAGACAGACATTCTCGTTTATAATATAGATTATTATAAACTGGCCTAATAAAAATATTTGCAGTCCGTTTGAAGATGAGCAAGAATTTTGACGAGTGTCAAACCTTTGCCTGTGCGATTCAAGCCTGTTTGCAAAGTGAGAAGATTTAACCTTTTCAGAAATCTTAACTATTCTTGACTGATCCTTTTGTTGGTTACCCACTAGAAAATAATTATCAACAAGACGCATGTGCCCCTGCAATTGAACAAATGCTGGACTGTTGTGAATTTAATGCTGATAAGAATTTCTCATCTTGCGATGGATTCAAATTCATGTTAAATAAGCGGAAGGCAAACAAAGTCTCTGCTGCTAAAGTCAATTAATTTGACGCCACTCAGGCTCACTCTGTACTTACCTTTTCTTATCTCAAACCTCACCAGAATTTTATCATTATAAGACAAAGTTAATCATTTTTTGTTTTGTTTCAGAATGAGCTCGAAACCAACCCTTGTCAAACGAACGCCAAACCAGGATTCCAGAGGTCGACCACAATATCTCGCTCGTCTCCCACTTTGGAAACGATATCCCAGAATTTTCATCCTTGGTGGGGGAGTACTTATAGGATGTTCTATCTGGAGTAAACAATTTTACAACGCACTTTTCTTAAAGTAAGTTCAACCAGCTCATTTAATACGTACTACATAAATGCAAAACCAAAACCCGATATTGTGTAATCTTATCATATTTTCCTCTTTAGACCAGAAGACATCCCTTACCAGGCAGATTGGTGGCCAAGTGAAATTGCAAAGGGCAAGAAAACAGTTGATCAATACAGAGAACGACAAGAGAAGATTCAGTTTTATAAAGAAAAGTACGAGAAAGAGCGAGCCGAGAAGGATGCAGCCCTAGCACAATTGGAGAAAGTGAAATTACCGAAGTAACCACATAGCAAACTATTTGAACAAAAAACTGTCCAGTGTTTTGTGCTACTGATATAATGGAAGCAGTGAAGAAAGCAAAATCTAGATTAAAAATATTTCCCCAATTATTAACCGAGTGTTCTAAAGAAGGATTGTTGTATGCAAAGTGTGTCACACAGACGGATGACCCCAAGCTGAATCAATGCGACAAAGAATTTCAAACTTTCAAAACTTGTCTGAACTCTGCAGCAAAGAAGAGATCAATTAGAATCTAATGATTAAATTTATCGTGCTAAATACGCACCCGTATAGAAAATTCATTGCATAATTTTAGTTATAGTCTAGTCAGAAAATGGGCGACACTCCAGTTTTTCTCCATTTAACAATTGGTCTACTCATTAGACTTGCAGCAACATTGTACAGTGTTTACCACGACGCTACTAATTTAGTAAAATATACAGACATTGACTATTCTGTGTTCACGGATGGAGCTTCATATGTAAGAATTAATTTCTTCAGTTTTTGGATGGGTTACATAGTTTAATGGATGGATGCAATTAATGGTAACATTTTTTTTCTGATTTGACTAGGTCATCCGAGGAGATTCGCCTTATCGAAGAGAGACTTATCGTTACACACCGCTCCTCGCTTGGGTTTTAACACCTAACTTGACAGTGTCACCTTGCTATGGGAAAATCCTCTTTAGTCTGTTCGACATATTAACATCATATCTAATCTATAGCTTGTGTCTGATCGAAAGTGCCGGAAACAAGGCTCTGAGTCGAAGATGTAGCTATTTATGGATATACAACCCCTTACCGATTGTAATTTGCAGTCGTGGAAGCTCAGAATCCATCATATTATCTCTCGTGTTGGCCACCTTGTTTCTTGCAAAGAAAAAGGCTACGGGACTGGCAGGAATCGTTTATGGATTTTCAGGTACATTTATCACAATTCGAATGATAAGCTGAATGAACTCTAATTTATACTTATTTTTCTCAACAGTCCACTTCAAACTCTATCCTATCGCCTATTGTCTTCCCCTCTACCTCTGCACGACTCAAGGATTGGACACGGCTAAGCTGAAACATTTACCGCTTTGGAAAAACATCTTGTCCATAACATCACACAGAATTCGACTCGTGGTGGGATCCGTCTTAGGATTCTTTATCCCGACTCTGATTTGCTACTATTATTATGGAGATGAGTTTTTACAAGAATCATATTATTACCACCTCACCAGGAAAGACATCCGACACAACTTTTCTACATATTTCTACATGTTGTACTTAAATTGGAACACGGCTGGAATTCTTGGCACGATTCTTAGCATTCTCACCTTCGCACCGCAAGTAATTTTGTTAATAACGGCAGCCGTACTCTTTCGAAATGCGGGGGACTTGTGCTTCACAATATTCGTTCAGACCTACTGTTTCGTCATCTTCAACAAAGTCTGCACTTCCCAATATTTCTTGTGGTATTTAAGCCTACTTCCAGTCGTTTACTGTAAATTACAAATCAAAATTTCAAATGCACTGATTTTGTTGTTTGTATGGTACTTTGCTCAAGTTGCGTGGCTCTTGCCAGCATTCTTTCTAGAATTTGAGGGTCGTAATGCCTTCATGTATGTCTGGCTAGAGTCAATTGCATTCTTTTGTGCCAATGTTGGAATTTTGGTTCAGATCATTAAGAATTATAGTCCGTAATATGTAGTTAATTAGTTGTGTAGCGAGTAGCAGGTGATGAGTCATTACTGTTATTAATAGAGTATTAGTTGCAATAGAATGTTTGTACAGTAATAAATAACACCAGTGAAAGTACTCAATAAAAGTTGCAATAAAATATTGATTCATTTACAATAAACTTTGTCTTATATAAACTACTCGGTCTTATCTAAACCTACTACATTCCCATTCCAGATGATCGTTTCGACGCTTGGCCGGGACCACTTGCAGCATATTTTTCTAATAAATCTTTAGCTTCGTTAATTTTTGACGCAACGTATGGCGATCCTCCTCTGTCGGGATGGTTTAAGGTTATTATTCTCTTGTGGGCTTCCTGTTACAAATATTATGACAGTGTTTAAGATGAAATATTCGACATTAATTCATCAAAGTATGAAGCAATTACCTTAATTCTAGCCTTTGACGCTGCCGGTGATATCCCTAAGATAAGTGAGGCCTCCCTCCTATTCATCTTCGGTTCGAATCCTCCCTTATAATATTTACTCGTGGATAAAGCTTCCTCCAAATTTGGGAACGTTTTCATCGCTTCGCTCATCTGCTGCGCCATGTTGGGCATTCTGCGGAGAATGTAACGACCAGCGAACCCAACAGCGGCCAGGCCAAGACCGGCAGCCACCATTGAGCTAGCCTGCAATAATAGAAATTGAACCAGTAATTAAAATTTTTAATTTAAAAATTAAAAATCAAAGTTACAATCAAATTTATTGTATTCGTAATTTACAATACGTTATTTCTTCTTACCATTTTACAAATTACGGGTCAAAGCACGAGTTCAGGTGAAATCTTTCATTAAATCCTATTTTAATAAAGCCTTATTTCAATAGGTCTTCGAAATTTCGGAAATTTTGATTTTTCTTACAAAATGCGGAGAAAGTTTCATCAGCACGAGCAAAGTGAAACGCGCTTCCTTCTTCATATCCGTGTACCCCGAATATCATTCATCCCCTAATATTTACCGTCTTCGATCAGATAGTTAGCAATCTTTTATCCAAAGAGGATACTTGAAAATCAACAAATTTTACTTTTGAAATTCAGAAAAAATTTTAAAATTTCTTAAACCCTAGTATCTTGAGCTTCCGATTGGAAAGTATCGCATTAATTTAGATTTAAAAGTTTAAATTGGATGCAAGATGGCCAACTGTCGGACCCGATTGCTAACTATCCTAGTCATCTCTATGCTCCTCAAAGTTTTCAATATTGACATTTATTGCTACTTTCTGTGATCAGATGTTGATTGAAAGCATCATCACAATTATTTTGTCACTATTTCGGAAATCTGACAAGTTCTGTGCAGACAAAAGAACCATTTAGACACCACATTTTTCAAACTATTGTCTAAATAGTGCATCCATTTCACTGCCGTTCAGCACCATCAAAAACGTTTGAGAGTGAAGAGTTTCCAAAAAATTATGAGAAAAATTTATTTTCTGTGTTGGGATTGATACCGCATTCCAAAGGTAACCCTCGTTCAAGAAAAATCTAGTCTTAAACAAATATTGAATGTTTTTTTAATGAGTCATGCAGTCATCTGATGATACTTTTCAGGGATCAAGAAAAATAGGTCGCTTTTGATCTTTTGAACTTTGATCTGAACCAATTTAACAAGATAAAGAAGTAAATCTGTCTTGCGACTTGGTACGGAAGCGATACAAACACAGTAAAATTAAATAAACAGTGACCATTCCACAGACGAGGACATAGTGAATTTCTACAGAGTTACTGAATATTCCGTTATTTTTATGCCAAAAAACCGCACAACAATGATCAATCGGTTCAAGAGTGCTCTGATAAATGCCGTAAGTAATACGGGACTGGATGCATCCGTGGTGGGGCTGAGTGGGAGTGGTAGCAGCTCGTCGTCGTCATCATCATCGTCAAGAAATCAGAGGGAGGAAGGGGAAGAAGGACATCGTAGTCGCAAAGGAAGTCGGGGAGGAAGTCATGGTCTCGAAAATGGCGAAGGTGTAAGGATCAAACGACACGAATATTCGAGACCACATTTTCTTCAGTTAAATTCCACGGACGAAATCACGGTCACGGCGGATCATGGCGTTCGCCCTATAATTGTTCCCAGGGACTTGTCATTTATACCGTGGGAGTCTGGTTATGCGGAGTAAGACAGTAAATTAATTAGACATATATGTATGTATGTTATATTAATATGTATAACGTTTTTATCATCAGAACTATAAATTCGGGGAAGTCAAAGCTAAACGAAGACCAAGCCAGGGTACATTATGCTCACATACGGGTCGAAATACCAATCGAGAATGGAAATGCGTCTGAAATGAATGGTCAGAAGGAGCAGAATGGGAGTGGGCTTCCACGAAAGGAGATTCTTATCCCATATTATTTCTTTGCATTATTTGATGGTCATGCCGGAGCTGGAGCGGCAGGTTGGTCTTGTTCTTATTGCATCATGGAATATTTGGACATTTATTAAACTTGTACGAATATTTATTTGCAGTTGCAGCAGCAGCACAGCTTCATAATATTTTGAATGTAATGGTTTGCAAATTGATTTAAAGTGTCAACGTCTTGCTTGATCGTTTATTTTTTTGTCGTATTATAGGATAAATTGCACGAAGTTGGAGTTCATCTAGTCCAAGATGGTCCTTTTTGTGAGTCGGTGGGTGGAAAGTCAAAGAAAGGTGTTTACTGGTATCCTCAAGTCAGCGTGACCAAAGATTCTTTAATTGTGGGGGCTTTAGAGGCAGCATTTTATCAGATGGTGGGTAAAATGTAACATATTAGGTTGAAGCTCTACCTGCTTCAACCCAATATGTTGTTTATCATCATTTATAACCAATTATCTCCCTGTCTTAATACGTGTCTGGGTTATTTCAGGATGAAACTATTCGGGAAGATAACTTAAAATATGACGGTGTTAATGGTGGTTGTACAGCGGTACTCTGTCTGTTTATACTCGGGAAAGTATACACAGCCAATGCCGGAGATTCCAGAGCAATATATTGTATGAGAAATTCTGATCCTGTGCCTTTATCACAAGATTTTACTCCAGAAACGGTAAGTTTATTATTTGTATAAATATTAATAACACAACAGCCTGCGTTATATGTTGTATATTTCTTTGCACATTAAAGGAACGGACTCGTGTGCGATTATTGGTAAGACGTGATGTGCATCTATTTTAACGCCTTGTTAAAAACACGACTTGATATAATAACCTTACGAACGTGTATAAATAATTTGATATTTAATTCAATATAACAGGCTGCCCAGCGTCCGGAACTATTGGGAAATGATTTTACCTCCAACGAGTACCTTCGTCGACCAGTGAAGAAAGATGTTGGTACGAAAATTATGTACCGTGCGGCACACATGACGGTAAGACTTAATTGGAACTTAGTTATTTATGTATTGTTTGACTTTAAATTTTATACTTTCAGGGCTGGGCGTATAAGACTGCTTCCCTTGATGATCTGAAATTCCCAGTTGTATTTGGGCATGGGAAAAGAGTATGCTTTCATTTATTGACTTTCATACAAAATTTCACTGCTAATTCGCTGGATGGTAATTGGTTTGTAGAGTCGTGTGTTGGCCACTATAGGTGTCACCCGAGGTTTTGGAGGTATATAAAAACTTTACAAATAATTATGTCCATTCAATATCAGGATTTTGTATTTTTTAACTCTTTCAGATCATGAGTTGTATGCTCACAGTTCCAATATACGAATAAAACCATTCTTGTCATCTCAGCCTGAAGTAGGTTATTTTTAAGGACATTTTTAAAGGAGTAATGACAATAATAATTAATAATGAAAATCAATTTGTTTAGGTGAAGATACTGGATCTGACAGATAATCTAGACGAAGATTCCGTTATTTTGATGGGGACCGATGGTTTATGGGATGTGACTCTCAATTCGACCGCTTCAAGAATAGTGTTTTCCACTTTGGACCAATTTCCTCCTTCGGATATAAATCGATACAAATATCGTTACGTCTCTGCCGCTCAAGGTATGAAACTAGCAAATTGAAATTTAATAAAGGTACTAAAATATAATCAAATTACACCTATCAATTTTAGATCTGGTAATGCATGCAAGAGGGAAGTTCAATGACAAGAATTGGAAAATGGGGGACGGTGCAGGTAGTTAATTATTTCCCTCTCATTTTCGTCTATCAATTAAAGTTAAATCCTAATATTTTTTGTTTGTTCACCCACTAGCTGCTACGATTGACGACATATCCGTATTTGTTATCCCAATCGGGCAATATCGCAGAGAATGGGCCCAACAACATTATTCAGACGATGACATGGAAAATTCAACTTTTGAGTCATCCCTTGACGCTGTCAATGCAAATGGTCATGAAGTCGCTAAAGATGTGCTTGACACGGTGGAGATCAGCACAGCTTCCCCAACTACAAGTGTTAAGGATAAAGAATCACTTTCTACTAATTCACTAAATGCTAACGTAAATGCGATGGATGTACAGTTAGAAGTAGTAGATGAATCTAATCACTAATCAAAAATAATAATTCTCTGTAGTATCTCTCATCTAACTCACATTCTGATTTATGTATGTATGCATTTTACATTCATTTTCCTCTAATCCGAGTACATTCCATGCGTAGCCATCCTTAATAATTTTTCTCAGTTCAAGTTGATTAGTATTTTGTATGTTTAATTTATTTCGTACGATAAATCAAAAAGAAACGTAATTTATTATTGTTACTATTATATTACGACTCTCGGTAGCAGCATAGCGAATCTAGTTTCAGGTATTGTAACTGTGATATAATTTTTAATATAATGACGATCCCCTCGCCACCACTTTTGAAATACCAACACAAATAAACCAAATCCTATTTATTATATTAATTAAGTACCAATTAAAAATTGTAAGTTATTGAATTAGGTAATATATATGTAGAGACTTTTGGTTTTTGTTATCGCCGAGATCACGAAATAATTTAGAGAAGCAACCTAATCGCAATTTTTGTAATAAATGGTACCACAAATGCTCAAATTCATTCAGAAGTAATTCATTAATATCAAGAGATAATTAATATTATAAGAGAAAAAACAAAGCTTCTACACACTTTTTGTGATTCAACTTTATATGATTAAACTCAATTCCGTAACATGATGGGAACGGAAAGGTTATCAGTCAGCCTTCTTGTCTCCTCCAGAAGTGGAGAGTTTCTTCTGCAATTTGGCGTACTCGTCAGTCAACCGATCGTACTCCTTCGAAACACTGGCAGCTTGTGACTTGACGGCATTTCTGTCCTTGGTCAGTTTCTCAAGTTCTGTAAAAAAGATAAGACTTTGAATTTTTGAATCTTACATAATATATACTTTTCGTATCTTAAAAATACCTTCTTTCAGCGTGTTCACTTCAGTTTCCAAAGTGGCAACCTTAGCACTGCTTTCCTTGTCATTAGCATTTTTCTTATCACCATCATTCATCAACCTCCTCGCGGCATCGGATGCGGATGACGCCTGCGTTTTGAAGCAATATTTAAGCAAATCACAAATATTTCTGTATTTTAAATAAGCTTACCTGTTTCAGAGCTGCTTCCGTTTGGGCATGCAGAGTAGCCTGGATGCTAATGAGACTCACCAGTCGTCGGATGATCCTATATATCAATATGATAAATATGTAACACTCTGATTGAACAAATATAGTTGCGGACTTACAAGGAAAAGAACAATGCGAATCCAGAAATGTAGAAATTTCTCTGCGCCCTAAACAGTTTCATATGCGCTTGCATTTCTGCTTTGGGATTTACAGTCAGATCATATTCTTCATTCGAATACTTCCTCATTTCACGGATAGCATCTGATCATAGATTTAAACAATAAATAATTTGATCAAATATTAGTATTTCAAATAAGTTTACCCAAGAAAAGGAGGCAAAGCAGTCCGAACAGTCCATAAAAGTAGAGCTGTGTCTGAGCTCCGAGACTATGCAATATTCTGGATCGAAATATCTTTAGCCATCTAAAAGAAATTACATTTATAGAGAACAATTCTAATTAATTTTAGTACTTACAAATTGACCGTTTATCAACTCACCTCTGCGCAGAAATAAACGGAAGGAGAAGCAGAACGACAACTCCGATTTCAAAGTACTGGAATTTAATAAAACCAGTTTAGGAATTATGTATGTCTTTTAATAAATGATATTAGTATACGCCACACCAAAAATCCAGCGACGATGCCCCACTGAAGACTCATCATTAAAGTCTGTTCGAAATATGTATGGAAATTTGGAACTCAATCACTAGCTCAATCCTAGAATGCTTTAAAGGAACTGAAGTCGTTCCTGTAAAATTAAAATAAATCACAACTTTAGCCGACTACGTACCATAGCTTGTACACGTACAATAAACTACAAGTCGCACTAACAAATGCACAAACAAAGACAATTGACGTCATATGACTGATGATGCTTGTTCATTGCTCATAGTCACTCTCTCAATCGCAAAAATTTGCACTCTTTGTTTTAATAAACGTGTCTAAATATAAAATGCCTAAATTAACTCTTGAACTATCATAAAAAATATTAATCAACAGTGTTGATTAATTAAATACAAACAAGTTTATAATTGGAAAAGATCAAACTTCAGTAAAAAATTAAAATTTTTACCTCAAACAACCATAGAGTTTCAAAAAGTTACTTACAAAAACAAAATGGTTCTCTTACTTACCGTCAATAATTGCAAGTTTTAACTAGTTTTAACTGCGTTCAGATTGCTGACAGAGATTAAACAATGTTTTCCCGAATCATGAATGAATCATCACAAAAAATAACAAAAACTTGGTCTGACGTGTTTATTACCAGTTTGAATGGAACCGCGGTGGAAAATCCGTACGGGGCAAAATGAAACAAAATTACAATAAAAAACTTTCACCAAAATTATATTCCAAGTGCGTAAAGTAAAGTTTGTTTTGTCGAAATTACAGAAATTTGTGCCATTCTTCGTCTAATACACTTTCGCAAAGTTTCTCGCTTCCTGCAAAAATAATGATTTCTAAAAATAAACCTCGGCAATCGTTAGGTTTTAGGCATCCTTTCATGGTCAGGTGATTGCGTATTACAATTTCATGAATCTCTAAAAAACTGGGGCAACAATCACTTTTTTATTTGAATACTTTTTCCACCTTCCTTCCACCTCGACCTGATGAGGATTGAAATTAAGGCAGTCGAAGAGAAAGAAGAGAAAGGTAAAAGAGAAAGGTAGTCCAAATGGGGAAAGTATGCTAATTCTGGGTTAAGAAAAATGCAATGATGTTTCATGAGAGTTGCGAATCCATGCAGATCATGAAAGAAGAATGGGTAAGTTCTAGATACATCTTGGACAGTATATATCAAAGAACGGATATGTATTTACGAAAAATTCCTGAAATATGAGAATTTTCAAAAACATTGTGTTTGTGAATATTTTATTTGATAGAATTTCTTTGAGCAAATAATTTCGTCTCGTATCGTTGAAATTTGTACAAAATATGCATGTTTTTGAAAAAAATATCTAAAATATTTACATATTTTTCAACTAAGAGTGGAAATATATGTCTGAAAACCTACATAGAAATATGTAACCATATGTAAAAAATTTTTTGAATTTTTTGTAAACAAGTTAGGGAACATTGTCAAACTTTTACCGTCGGTCGCTATCAAATGAAAAGGCTGAAAATAAATACATATCCGCCCTCTGATCATGAATATGAACGGATAAGTAAGTACATACAGCAAACAATATATTGATGTTGCTCTACTTATTCTTTCTGCAAAGAAATTCCAGTATTCTGCAGAAGGAGGAGAGGAGAGAGGAGAAAGCAGTGGTGAAAGCATCCCCATTTGAGTAGCCACCACGAAACAACGTCAGCAATGGAAAAGGGCAAATGCATCCGAAACAAATTTTATATTCCACTCAGCAAAACGGTCCATACAAATTGGTACTTTACTCTCTCCTCCTCCGCCTCCTGTTTTCGCACAAATACATACATTCTTCATTCCATCCTACAGCCCCGGAGGACTTGGTTAGCTTCAGTGGCCGCGGAGTTGTGGGGACATGTGGGGACATTGTCATTGTATGTAGATAGGGGAGGGAGGGGTTTGTATAAGATGGGCAAATGATAGGGACATCGAAAAATCGTGGGGACATTGTCCCTTTGTCCACACACTTCAACGGGTACTGAGCAGTAGCTATACAAACTCTAGACAGTGGCCGCGGAAGCCGTGGGGACACTTGGGGACATTAACATTATAGGATGAGGATGGGGACGGACGGGTTTATATAAGATGAGGAGATGATGATGACATCGAATAACTGTGGGGACATTGTCCCTCTGTCCACACGCTTCCGCGGCCACTGGTTAGTTAGGTCAGAGGTTATCCAAAAACAACCTAACATTCCCGTCGTCATGTACATATTCTCATGTAATTGGGTTCTTGCCTTGTCGACTAAAATATCTCCTCCAGGTACATAAAATGTATGCATGAAGTTGGGTAATAAATTCTTTTTTTTTTTGGAGAAAGCCAGTTTTCTGAATGGAGTTGAATATGAAAATGAAGGATAAGCAAATATTATTCAACTTGGAGAAAGGTTAGATCTGCATTATAAATGATTAACATAAAGAAAACTATTATTATTGAACGTAGGTTGTCCTTGAGTTATGAACCGGAGAAAGGACAAGTCATTTATATATAAAAAATGTATGTATAAATAACTCACTGCAACATTCCTTCAGTCGACATAACCATTTGTTACGTATTTATTTGGCATACTTTTTTATCTACGTGCATACGTTGCAGTTGCAGCCGTATTAAATTACGATCCTTGTTTTTTATCGGGGTTGTAGATTAGTCGAAAAGTTGATAAAAAGAAAGTTAGCTTTCTACATAAATTGTATGCATTCACCTGCAGCTCGTTATTTCTGGACAGGTATGCAAGCAGTGGCCGCGGAAGGACAGAGGGACAATGTCCCCTTGGTTATTCGATGTCTGCATCACCATCTTATATAATCCCCTCCCACCCCCATCCTACAATGCTAATGTCCCCAGATGTCCCCACAGCTTCCGCGGCCACTGCTCTTACACTGCAGTCTTACATAACCTGCATTTTTCCTCTCCTTACAACTACGAAACACTACAATTTCACGATTTATACCAGGTGTTACATAAAACTAATAATGATTCAATTCATACCCTCAGTTTCTCCCCAAGGTAAAAAAAATCCTGTTATGTGAAACCATTAAAAAAATGCAGCAACCTGATATATGACGTGTTGCTATTTTGATTTTCTTATGCATCCAACAAAGCTCTCCGAATAACGGAGAAGTTTAAAGTAGAATTTATTACTCTAAGATTTTCCCGACATTAAATACTTTCACCCGCCAGCTTTCCCTTTCTTCTTGTTAACCTTGGCTCGCACGATGCATGCACGGTGCGTGTGCAATAAGTAGGAAGTAGTTAAGCGATGGCAAACAAAACAAGGGGGTAAATAAATGGTTTTCAAGTTGTAGGACTTCCTTCACTTTCTCCCCTCGTCGCAAGCAGTGGCCGCGGAAGCCGTGGGGACATCTGGGGGACGCTAACATTATAGGATAGGGGAGGGACGGGTTTAAATAAGATGGGAGATGATGCGGACATCGAACAACCGTGGGGACATTGCCCCTCTGCGCCCCCACCCTTCCGCGGCCACTGCCCCGTAAAATCGGATTATTTCCAAGTTTTCTTCTTGATCCTTCTTGTACACACACACACTTTCTCTTTGAATTAGATCTGAGAGCAAACCTTGTTGTTGTTGCTGCAAGCGAGCCACGCGAGAAATCATAAACGAAATGAAATCTTTTTGATACGTGAGGAATCGTGAGACACGCAATCCAATCTAATCTGGAGGTAAATTGGTGTAGCATTCTTCGTGCTTGCTTTCGCGAGGGGAAAGTGAGTGAAGAGTTGGAAACGATTTGAGAAAATTATTATTGCAGCGTTGCTTGAAATAAAACTTTTCCAACGAAATCGAATTTGTGCAGGTGAGAGTACGGAAATGGGGACGGAACTGCATGACTTGTTTGGAAAATGCATGTTTGGAAACCCTTCTTCTTCTGAAAAGCGTTGGTTCATATTTACCTTCGTTTCTAAATTATTCCAATTATGCTTCAAAACGTGAGAAGGAGTGTGAATTTGCAAGAAATATAAAACGCTTTTATTTCTCTGAGTACTTTCTCGAAGTGGCCGCGGAAGAAGCTGGGGGGACATTAGCATTGTGGGATAGGGGAGGGAGGAGTTTATATAAGATGGGGAGATGATGGGGACATTGTCCCGCGGCCTTGCTTTCTCTTCAAAACTTTGCAAATCTTTCAAGGTTTATTTTCTCTTGGGGCAGCATATTTCGTGCCGCGAGCGAGGTCAGGGGTGGGGCTGGGCCGTGTAATTATTATTATTCGTGTAGCAAGATTAGCAAGGAGTTGTTGCAAATGAAACTGAAATTCACAGGAAATTGTATAACGGTAAAGTTAACTTAATGCGTGACCAAGTCGTAATGAAAATTAATCAGTGTCGTTCTAAGGAAAAGCACTTGTTGAAAAATTTAAAGCAAACTTTAAACGTAAAAATATATAAGAGAAAGTTGTGTTTTTACACATACATACACAAACATTGCGTAATTCCTTACAAAACAAATTAGTAAAAGATTTTCATGCATGCGAGAGAAAGTTATGTAATTGATACACAATAATCCAGAGTAAAAAATATTTCTTACGCATAAAAAACTAATCAACTTCAATGTGTTTAACAACGTCAATGAATTTTTTAGCTGCAGGATGAGCATTCAATTTCCTTGCATAACTGTATTTTCCAATTGATTCCTTTAATTTAAAACAAACTTTCCACGTGTGTATGTTTACACGTGGTAAAAAAATTGTGCATATGTACTTACTTTTGTACATATGTACACAAACATTGCATAATTCGTTTATAAAGCAAATTAGTCAAAGATGTAAGAGAAAGCACAAAGGTAATTGACCAGGGTACAAACCCAGAGTAAAAAACTAATCAACTTGAAACTTCAGTCAATGAATTTTTTAACCGGAAAGCATTCAATTTCCTTGTATAACTGTCTATCACAATTGGCTCCATTTTTTATCTTGGTATACTTTTACACGACCTGAAATCAATACGTATATGTAGCATTGTTTGGCTTGAATCAAACTCAATGCTACTTTCACCCACAACAAAAAAAGGAAGGAAGTCCGCCCCCCTCATTGTGGTTCGTACCTCAAGAAGAAGTAGTCTACTCGTTGCAGTCCAGTCCACTTTTATCGACCATGATGTAATCTGATTGCAGGCGATGCACGTTGGTGAGTGCACCGCAGGAGGAAGTGTCAAGCGGAAGAAGACGAATGCCTTTCTTTCACAAAAGTCCAGCGGGGGGTTCCAAGTTTAGAGGTTTTGTTCTTCCGTCCAATCCCCAGGGCAAGACTTGTACTCTCCCTCCACTTATGGAGGGGTGAAACTACTTTATAAGATTGATATGTCCGTCTGTCTGTCTGTTTATCCGTCCGTCCGATAGATAATTCAAGAACGGTTTAACATATCGACTTGAAATTTGGAGCATGATTACCTCAATAAAAACCAAGGTCAATTTCGAAGATGGGTACTCTAGGTAACACCTGTCAAGGTCAAAAAGGTCACGAATGGGTCAAATTGCATATATATGCCAATTTGATAGCAAATTTAACCCCGAATTCAATGGTGACCTCCATTTTGACCTGAATGGTCACGTCAATATAATACATACATGACCTACAAAAACGTTGAAAATGCGGTATTTATGTTTAAATCAACCTACTTACTTTCTCTTAAA